AGCTAGGTAACCTGTTTACAGAGCTAGGTAGCCCATTTGCAGAGCTAGGTAACCTGTTTACAGAGCCTGCTCCTAACAAATTATGTGTGACCTGTACTGCTTGCCAGTTTTAGAGCTATTATTGTCCTTTGTGTCACCAATACACGTGTCACAGTTCACCAGAGGAAAACCTGCTGAAGAGTTGTTTGGGTGCCAGAGGATGTCTCGGCACTGTCTAGGCAATGAACTAAGGCTCAGGAGTTACCTTCTGTAACCTGAGTTTTTGTCTTGTCCAGTACCAAAGCCATTTCCCGTATATCGCAACCTTAGCTGCCCAGAGAGTAATTTGAGTCTGAGTTCATGGGGGGTCGGAGCCTCCATGCCAAGATCACGTCAGGGAAGCCATTGGGCCGAGGGGGGAGCGCAGGGCAGTGGGGAGGCACAGTCGTACCTCTGGAATGTTCCAGTAATCTTGGTGTCCTTCCTCAAAGCAATGAAAGCCTTGTATCATGCAAAACAATGTGATGGCGTCATTTTGGCGTGGGAATGCGTGCCAAGCTCAGAGAGGGAGGTTCAGCCCAACAATGCACAATGAACCAGGCCGGCAAATGCAGACCCCACACTGTGCTGATCTGCTGGGTATCTCCCCGGGGTTTATATGGGCTGGGTTAGGTCAGAAAGTGGTTGATTAGCAATTAAATGATGTTTCTACTTGTAACTTTTTATATTTAGACTTGCTGATCTTTCTTTATGTAATCCATTCACGTCCCACCTTGCGATTGCCTGCCTCTGTTTGACCTTCAAGTCTGCACTCTTGTTTTCATGAGGACGTTCCCAAACAAACCGTGGCCCATAAGGTACCTCCCAGTGAGATAATGGGACATGGCGCCGATAGGTTGATGGTTTGTCATTGGGTTTGGTCACAGGAAGGTGGTGCACTTTTTTTTGGTCATGGAGCTGTTTGGATGTCTTTCTCTCACTAAATCTGTCTACCCACTGCATTTAGCATAACCGGTTGCTGCAGACAAAGACCACCCTCATCTTGTCCTCTCTTTCTGGTGTCGTGTCCAACCGCATCTCCATCTCTCTCCTTCCAGGCTCCTCTCCGGCTTCCTCGCAGATGGACCCAGAATTCACCCAGCTAGAGCAGAACGGCTTCATGAACTCTCTTCCCATCCCTGTCCGAGGCCTCCCCGTGCTGTCCTCTTTGGACGCCCGCTTACGGCCACGGTGGCGGACCATCACGGCGGTCGGTCTGTTCGTGCTGGCGGTCCTGCTGTACTCACACAGGACAGCAGAGGGCAGTGGCGACACTGGTGACCGCTTTCCCCAGCACGTCCCGGGTGGCCTCCGCCCACGTTCCGGATGGTATGGTGTGGTAGCAGCAGAACTATTCTCCGGACGGTATAACGACACGTACCCGCTGAGCCCACCAGAACACACAGCACGCGGCACCCGCTACCGCATCGCCGTCATCGCCGACCTGGACACAGCCTCTCGCAGCACCAAGGAGCTCACCTGGTTCAGTTACCTACGCCGGGGCCACCTGCTGGTGTCGGATGGTAGGGACCAAGTGACCGTGGAGTGGGACCCCGACCGGGTTGTGCTTGAGAGTCACCTGGCGGAAAAGGGGCGGGGCATGGAGCTCTCCGACCTGGTGGCCTTTAATGGGAAGCTGTACAGCGTGGATGACCGCACGGGTGTGGTCTACCACATTGAGGGCAACCGGGCCGTACCCTGGGTCATCCTGGCCGACGGAGACGGCTCAGTCGCCAAAGGTCAGTCATGCCCACGAAAGGTCACCCTGAGTCTCAGGCTCGTGTCCCTCACTTGTACACATTTTCATTTTTATGACGATTAATTATTCAACTTATTCAAGAGATAATAGGCAGGAGCTCGTGGTTAACTGCTGGGATGGGCTTGGCATCGTCTTAACTTGCTGACCTCCTGCACCCTGATGCTCTCACTCGGTCATTGGTGTCCCCTCAGCAGATGATCTCGATCATGCCAAGGTGCAGACTGACGGTGAGGGACAGGCACGCTTTGGCAACAGCCGCACCCGGGCTTCGTAGTGGCCCCTCCCCCCACGTTTGCTCTGCAGCCACCATGATCACCTTTAAATCCAGCTTGAAAACCTGTCTTACTTCTCTGGGTTTTGATTAGCGTCTGATTTGTCTGATTTCATGCAGCACTTCGGTCAACCTATGTTGTCTTAAATGTGCCCTATAAACAAATTTTGATTTAATTTGATATAGTCAGTCACATCACACAATGCAAATCTCAACGATTCCTGCCGGCCATTGGTACACACAAATTAAACACAAACACAAATACCGATTAGGATGCTTACAGTCAGACAATAAATACTGTATGTAAAAATGTAAACATGGAATGCCAAGTAAACATAATACAAATTGTTAGCTCTTTGTAATTATGGAAAGCAAAGTAAACTGAGATGAGTAGCAGTGGTGGGGTTCAGTATGGTCCAGTTCTTACTCTTTTATGTGTCTCTAAAATACTGAGAAAACAAAGTTGCAGATTATAACCATCGAGTTACAACCTTCACACAGCTGCCTGGAAGTTAATCTAGGTAAATAAGAAGAGAGATTGCAGACATTTCATATCAAACAGCATTCATAAATGACAGAAAGGACACAAACATTTGCCTGCGTGCAGAAGTTTTTAAATTAAGAACAGAATGTATGACAGATGCGCTCGTTGTAGTTTGTTATGCAAATTAAGTGTTACATATTTAGATTCCACTGTGGTATTTTAAGCATTGTGTTTGATCTTGAAGGACAGGCAACACGATGGTTTTATGAGTTCCTCATAAAAATGCAGTTTGACACTTTTTTAAATCAATTGTACAGCTCCTCTTTAATGATTAAGTGTAGGTATGGCCTGTTTTGGTTTTAAGATATTTTTATGGCATAAATAAAATCCTACATGTATTTTTTTAGCGTGTTATACAACAAAAGTTGACTTCAGGGCATCTTATATGAGCTCTTTTGTGAAACTCATGCCTGAAATGACATTTTTCACATTTTCTATGCAGCCAGAAATTGTAGCTGAGGAGAGGCACCAGGTGCAGGGGGAATGAGAAGGGGGAATGAGCAGGGGGAATGAGAAGGGGGAATGAGCAGGGGGAATGAGCAGGGGGAATGAGAAGGGGGAATGAGTAGGGGGAATGAGCAGGGGGAATGAGCAGGGGGAATGAGCAGGTCTCTGTGCGGTTTTGGGCACTGATCAGCCCGGCTTTTCCTTCCCAGGATTCAAGGCAGAGTGGCTGGCTGTGAAGGACGAGCGTCTGTACGTGGGCGGTCTGGGGAAGGAGTGGACCACAACCACGGGGGAGGTAGTCAACGACCACCCAGAGTGGGTCAAAGTGGTGGGTTTCCGTGGCGACGTGGAGCACCAGAACTGGGTGCCACGGTACAGTACCATGCGGAATGCCGCTGGCATTAGACCCCCAGGTGAGTTTGGGGGGGAGGGTCATTTTAACTGAGCTTTCATGTGTCGTCTTTCTGCTGAGACCCTCGCCCTTCATTTCCTACACTCTGGCTGGGACTGTGAATATAACACAGTCATGGGCAGAAGCCAGAAGGACATGTTTAAAAAAACATGCCGTCCTGGTTGGGCTCAAGATGAAAAAAATAAAAGACAGCATACACGGGAAAACAAATGAGCTGCCGGGGGATTGGCCACCAGGGTCTCACTGGGGGTGGAGCTAAAATTTGGCCCAATCCAGTGCTATAGATAATAATGAACAGACGAGCTGAATGAATGAATGGGCTTGTCACCTGACTGGGAGGTCCCCCCCCCCATCCTTACACCCTTAATCACTATCTCTTTTTCTCTCTCTCACCAATTCCATCATAACACCCTTCTTTATCCTATATTTTTTTCACACTTTTGCTCACACTCTCCAACATTATTCTCTCTGTGTTTTTCTCGTTCTGCTCCCTGGTCCTTGGACCCGTCACCATTGTGCCTCCCCCCTCCCAGGTTACCTCATCCACGAATCGGCAGCATGGAGCGACCTGCTCCAGCGCTGGTTCTTCCTGCCGCGCCGGGCCAGCGCCAAGCTGTACAACGAGGCAGCGGACGAGCGCCGCGGGACCAACTTGGTGCTGAGCTGCTCGCCGGACTTCCGGGACGTCTCTGCGGACCGCGTGGGCCCGCTGCTGCCCACACATGGCTTCTCCTCGTTCAAGTTCGTGCCTGGAACCAACGACCAGCTTGTGCTGGCGCTGAAGTCCGAGGAGGACGCCGGCAAGGTCGGCACCTACATCACAGCCTTCACTCTGGACGGCCGCATCCTGCTACCAGAGACCAAGATCGGAAACGTCAAATATGAGGGACTAGAGTTCATCTAGTGAGGAGTCAACCAATGATGCACCACCAGACCATGAATATTAGGCCTTTTCCAGTGACCCCACAACAAGCACCAAAAAAATAAAACTAATGGAGGGCGTGGTGTACGTGGTGTAGGTGTGGCCTATCTGAGTCATGTGACTGCTCAGGCTTTCATATAATGTTGAGTTTTTAACCCAACTATGCACCAATTGTTCACCTTCTCAGCTGATTAAATACCTTGATGTTAAAACAGCCTGGTGACAAATGCACAATGTATACAAACCAGGCTACTTGGTGCCTGTGTTAGAAAAAGGATCAAGGCTGTATGTGTGTATCTAAGCCACTTGTAGCCTATCAGGGCCAACCAGACACATATTCTTTGTACTGTTTCTGCACCGTATTTATAACATTTCTGTGCTCTTTAGTGTTTATTTTTTTTATCTCCTATTAATTGACTGTAATTTTAATTTTTTAAAAGCCTTAATATTTTGCTTGATTTTCTTATAGTAAATTTTTATGCAAAAAATGCTCAGACTCCTGACCTGCTTTGGAAATCAAAGAAATTGGTGAGTGTGCAGTCTGGGGGGGGGGGGGGGGGGCAACAACCAAAGAAAATGAAGCACATCACTTTTTGGGAATTTGTGTCAGTAAAAGCAGGGCTGTAAACTATGGGGGGATGGGGGTTGTAACCTCCCCCCAATAATCAAAACCAGCCAATACAACCCCTTGGACCCCAGTAAATGGGTGGAGACCTCAACCGTCCCCCAGTCCTGAACCCAAAGTCATGCCCTTGGGTAAGAGAGAAAATTATATATGACGACTGATAGCAACAATTTTCACCTTTGGAGTAGGAACGGACGGAATCAGAATTTTTCAAATAATATAATAAAAGCTGTGGTAAGGTCACAGTCTAGGAAAAGTGGAGAATAGATGAAGGCGAGCTGTCTGCGTCTGGGTAATTTTGCCCTGCTTGAAAGGAGTCTTCTGTCAACCAGGAAGAAGTGTCACGAAGCCGGGGTGCCGAAATGTTTCTGTCACGTGTCGGAGCTGAGCTCCTAAGCCAGGCTTCTCAGCCGCAAATCTCATCACCTCATATTACTAAAGCGGGAAGCCTTCATTTTACGCTGCACTTGGCCACAGTTCGTAAAACATGCTTGAACATTAAGCATCGATTATACCAATAATCAAAGAACTAGTTAAGGCAAAGTTAACCCCATAACGAAAGATGGCTGAACGGATTCCTAGTATAGTGCACTGCAGTGGACACATGTCAACCGTTGAACCCGGGACATCACTGTGCAATCACAGTATATCGTAGGTTGGACCTCCTTAGTCCATCTGATTTTTCACCGGTTCGTGTAGAAATCGAACTACTAGCTGGGTTTCACGCCCATAAAAACCATATGCGAAGTGTACTCCACGAGTGGCCATGTAAGTTTAGGAACGAAGAAGTATCCGGTTTGATCAGATTGACCAATTGTTGAGACCGTAAAGAACTCCTATTACTACAAGGTATCCAACTAAGCAATTCCAGTGGCTCCCCGTCCGGCGATCCTAACGTCCGCGGCCGATGCCTCCGGCGGCTTCGTGCATAGCCCGACCCGGCATGTCCGGACAGCACGCGCACGGCGCCGTAAGAAGAACTTCAAAATAAGAGCCTTCAGTAGCTATACTGCCGCATCGTCTGTTTCACACACACGCATATTTTTATGAACGTGCATAATTTCGTGATAATAGAAACAACTGCATCTTCTCAAAATATATATTATATATACTTCCATAAGGAATATATAAAGTTTTATGTGTGTTCTCATTCGTGTGTTTCCCGTCGTAGTCGCTCTAGCTCTCTCTATATCTACACTACTCCCCTCCTCCCACCTCGGAAAGGGGCGTGTCTATGCGCCGGAGCCGGTCCGAAATAACGCTGCGTCTTCACTTCCCCGGCGCCTCATGCCTGAACGTGAGATCACAGTTGCAAGATGGCGACGCGGTGGGGAGCGGGGTTGGAAAGTCTGATCGCCGGCAGTATGGAATGTTTCTCCTTGGATGAGGTGGGTCTGTGCTGGTTTGAGGGCCGGGAGCTGGGGCTACGCGTTGGAACTCTGCGGTCGGCGGTGGGACGCTGAGTTTGGCGGCGGCTGGCGGCGCAGCGCGGCGTCCGCCTGCGTGTGACACGTGGATGTACACGGCGAGGAAAGCATGGTGCCGGGAAAAGATGGAAGGGGGGGGCAGAGGAGAAGAAGTCGGCCACGCAATGGGCTCGGCGCGCCAGCATGCCTCCATCCCCGCATTCGCGTCCGCCGGTGTGCGGAGGGGAGCCGTCCGACGTGACACGTGCCGTTTCCTTACGGCGATCCTGTTTTTGGCGTTTTACGTTGACTTTTAAGTGTGACGTTTACACGTTTGTCGGATAAATTATTTTTTTGGCTGGGGAAAATGGAGGGGGTTAGCATGATATTAGCCTGCTGCTCGTTTGTATGTGTGGAAAGTTACCTGCGCCAAGAAATTAGTACATAAAAAACGATTATTTAAATGGTTTTAGACGATCGACAAAATCTTCAGTCGCTTTTTTGTGTGTGGTGGTAGCCAGTGTAAACCCTTTAACTGTGCCAGATATATATATACATTTATGTGTAATAATAAAAGCCATCGATAAATCTTTTACGTTATCATTGTTAAATGAGTTACGTGTTACGAAGAATTAATGAAGGAATGGTGACTCCTACCGGTAACGTGACTGTTACTGTTTATGCGTGCTACGCCTGGTTGTATCGTAGGTTTTCAGATCCATTTTCGCCCCAAATCGCCGTCCATTCGCCTTGAAATGTGACACTTTGGTCGTTTGTCACGCTGGCATTTCGATGCTAAAGCCTAGTCCTCGTTGCTGTAGGTTGTAGTGGATCCATCTAGGCCGCCACCCATTGCATATGCTCACCAAAAATAAATCGTGTCTTGTATTCGTAGCAGTATCTTTAAAAGCTTTGACGATATTCAGGTTCACTTTTCTACGACTATTTTGACGAAGTGCAAGTTGTCACGAGCCCCGGCGGGTCGCGTGAGGAGTTTGTATTCATAACACGTGGTGCGAATCTGGCTGCTGACCCACCGGAGGGAAGTTCTTGGCATTTAAATGACAGTTAAAAATCAGAATGCAAATCAATGTCCCGAATGTTTTGAACTATTTATGTAGTGTAATCATCTTAATGGTAGTTGCTGGGCATGCGTGCACTCATTTAAGTGATAAAATGAGTTACCGTGCTTATGTACGTGGTGCTAAGGGCGGCGTTTGTCGCTGCTGTAATAACACGTGGGTGGAGGGATCCCGGCCGGCGGCGGAGACCGCGCCTAATGTCACGATCCGGGGAACCAGACGCCTTTCTCGTAATGTCCATCGCTTTCTCTTTTGATGCGATGCTTGTTTTTAAATGATCTGCGTTTCAGTGCTCGATTAATTTACGGATTGTGTGTTTCGTGGTAAACCAGTGGTTCCGGATCACGCTACGTTGTATTGCCCCCCTCCCCCCCTCCAGTGGTGCCGGATCACGCTACGTTGTTAGGTTTTATTGCCCCCTTCCCCTGCCAACCCGGAGACGGCGTGACCGCTCCTACTATTCGCGATTTTTTTGAGGATGAACACGCGCAGTAACAGCAAACGCACGTTTTTCCAGGGCTGGCGGAAGCGCGCCCCCGGGCGGCGGTGTGCTGGGTGGTGTAGTTTTCCTGTCGCGGATGAGCAATGCGTTTTGTCAGCTGGTGTTTGGCCTGTGAGTCACCTGCTTGCGGTGGGAGGTGCTGCTGCTTCGCCGCCTGTCTGAAGCCACCATGTTTCACGTGCGTGTCAGTATTGAGATTTCCAACTACTGTGATTAGACATCTCTTCAGATCTCCTTATTCAGTGGTCTTGTTAACATACGGGGGAATTAATTTAGCTTTGTTTTTATCCTTGATGACATAACGAAAAGAATTTTGCTACACTCTCAGTGCTTAACAAACACAGCAATACAATTATCCAGACAGAAGGAGGGATACAGGACATAAATAATAGCTTAAATACCTTTATTTTCCATTTGCAAAATTCTTCTCTTTGGCGCCCCTGGAGCTGGGTGTTAAGGGTCTTGCTCAAGGGCCCACAGACATCGTTGTTCTGGCCAAGCCGGGGCTTGAACTGGCAACCTTCCGATCACACGCAAAGAGATTTGACCTACTGAGCCGCTGACTGGCCCAGATCTACATGGAATGCAGACGGCGGGATTCTGGTCCCCAGCTTCCCTTTGCTTTGATTCCAGTGCGTTGTGGGATGCCATTTTGCTCAGAGCCCCTCCGAAGCTTAGTTTCGGCTTCTTGGAATGGTACGTGCGAACTCACACCCACATGTGTTACACAGGACACTCTGAGCAGGCAGGATGCTGGTGAGCTCAGCCTGAATGACCCACTGGGTGCTGGGCAGGCCCTAGAGTCCCTCCCCGCCTACCTGGATTCCTCCATCCTATCCATCTTCGAGGACTCGTGCACTCCAGTGGAGGTAAACGTCATTCTCAGCGTTTGTTTGTATTTTGTGACTCAGCGGCAGGAGAACCTTGTGTGAGCTGTAAATGCCGGTGCTTTCGCAGGTACGGGCTGTAAAATGTTCCATTTGCTCCTTGCGCGTTAGTGGGGGTGGGGTTCTGTCACGTCCAGCCAATGGGTTTTCATTTAGAATTGTCCGTCTCCCCTCGTAGATCAATGGCTGCATCGATGAAGAAGGAGAAGCCGCGTTGCTGACTGCACTCACGGAAGTACTGGACAGTGTGGACAGCGAGAACCTGTCACCGTTCGACACTCTGCCCGATCCGGAGCTCTTCTCCGGACAGAAGGGCAGGGACCCATCGGCGGTGAGGCCTGCTTCTAAGCCCCTCCCCCCTAAACTGCTGGCCACTCCCCTGTGTTGTGATTGGCCCTCAGCTTGTCCTTGGCTTGATTCCTCATTCGCTGTTTTGCCATTTCCCCCCCTGAATGGGTGGGGTTTCTGAAAACTTGAGACATTCAAATTCCTTCAGTTTGAGTTATCAAATCTCCTGACCAGCTCACATTTAGAAGGAAACTGACCGGAGACCTATAAAGCAGTCAGATCAACGCGCCCATCTTGTCACCATTACTGGATATTAGGATAATCTTCGGTTACTCTCTGAAGCGTAGACCCTTAAATCCGTCCACACGCTTTGTAGTCGTGAGCAACAGGTGGTTCTAGGGTGATGTTCTGCTTCAGAAGGAGAGACGACTTTTAAATCCGGTGCATGAACTCCTCACTTCTGTTTCAGCTCCGACACTTGCTGAGTGTGGCGACATCACCGCCCACAACGGAGCCTGTAGGAAATGTTAGGAACTCTCGTGTTCTCAACGACTCCTAATGCTGGATGGAGCCGCTTTTTCGGTCATTCATTCAGTTTTTGGGTTTTATTGTTCGGCCAATCACAGTCGGTTCCCTGTCTTCCAGGAAGTCGATGTCTGTGCTGAGCGGCACTGGAGGACCCTTAGCGAGAGGAGCGACTGCGAGGAGGAAGATGGCGACACAGGAAGTTTAGTGCAAGGCCTCGAGGGTGACGTGGGACTCCCCTCACTGGGTGACCTGGTGAAGCACGTCTACCCGTACTGCCTGGCCGTCTCCCTGGAGCTGGGGGAGGATAATGGGTACCCCCTGCCCGAGGGCGGCATCGTGCTGGAGGTGGTGGACCGTGGAGAGCAGGGGGAGCCCATTCTAGCGGTCACGGGTCCTATCGGGCCGGCAGGGGCCTCAAAGGAGGAGCCTGTCTCTGAGGGGAAGTCTTCACAGCCTGGGAGTCCCGATTTTGCCCCCGCCACCGAAGCCGGGGGCAGCGAGGTGTCCGAGGAGCGCCCCAAAGAGCCCACCTCAGAAAAATGTCCCTCGCGCCGGAAGAAGAAACGGAAAAGCAAAAAAGGTGCGGAAAAGAGTGTTGTGAGGAGTGGGCAGGCGGAGACGACGGCAGACGTGTCGGGACCCGTGCCGGAGGGAGTCCCGCAAGACAAGAGTCCAGAGACAGCGGCTAAGAAGAAGAGGGTGACCTTTGCCCCCATACTGACGTCTGTCCTGGACATGCCAGCTGAGGGCCGGGATGATTTTGTCGGGTCAGATCCTGACCCGGAGCCTCCGACCGGCGCTGTGGAGCAGCCGGCATCACCCGTGCTTCAGCCCCCCCAAGAGGAGGCCAGGCCGAAGCTCCTCAGCCTGCAGGAGTACCGGCTGCTGAGGCAGCAGAGGAAGCCAGGCCCGGTGGGGAAGCCAGGCGGCAGCACCAAGTGGCCCACTCTCCCCGAGCCCCCCAGGGAGCTGCCCCCCATTCCCTGCCTCCCAGAGCAGCCGCGGGCCCACCCCGCCCAAAAGGAGCCCCAGGAGGCGGTGCCGGCCTGGCACCCGGTTGGCTCCAGCATACCCCCCACCCCCGAGGCTCTGCTGGTCCCCCCCAGCTCAGTGGTGGGTCCCAGCAAGCCCCCGGAAGGCAGGCCGGTGGAGCCCCCGCAGGCCATGAGCCGACCCCCAGGCCCAGCACCTCCTGTTGCGCCTCCCAGTGCGGCTGCCAGGCCAGTGCCCCCCCCGGCACCCTGCTTGCCTCCCGCCGGGTCCCACCCAACCCGAACCACTATAGATCCCCGCCGGCCGCAGCACCTCGACGTCCCGGTCTCAAGGAAGCCACCGTCACAGATTAACCCGGCCACAGCACCCACCTCCCAGGTGGACGGCCAGCCCCCTTCAGTCGCGGGAGACCAACTGGCCATGGTCGCCAGCCTCCCTGCCCGCGGGAGGCCTCAGCGGCTGCCCCAGACCAAGCTGCTTGTGCTCCCCGCCAAACAGAACCCAGAGGAGAAGCAGGTGCAGGCCAGCACCAGTGAAATAGGTGAGTCACTCTGCAGTGACGTGACTTTTAAAACATAGTGGCTCCGCCTTCAGTGAGTCACCTGAGTTGGTATCGGCCAATCAGATGCCCCCTCTATGGTTGCATAGGGGACATTTCAGATGGATGTAGGAAGCTTGGGGGTCCATCATAAATCTGTAGATGTCAGTATTGCACCATCTGGGGTGTTGGGTGGGGGGGGGGGTCTGTTCCCTGAGCAGCTGGGGTGGATTCTGGCCCATCCCCAGTCAGATGGGGTTTGGAATTTCTGAGGGGGGCGGGACTTATTCACCACAGCCATATTTTGACTGTGGGGGCCACCAGAGCGGCATCTCACAGTTGGTTTCTGTGCTGCCTTTCAGGAATTGAAGCCACTGACCTAACCAGCCTTCTGGAGCAGTTTGAGGAGACTCAAGGTAGGTGGGGGGGGGGACACCCGGCATCTCTCTCTCTCCCTCGCTCTCCCCCACCCAGAGCCCGGCGGCCAAATCGCGCATGTTCGGTAAACACTGGGTTCTGGGGCTATTTTCAGGCAGTGACTGATGGGCCGGCATGCGCCTATCAAATTTCCAGGCCAAGGGGTGGGACCTCAAGCCTCTTGTTTAAAATATTTATGAGGGGGTGTATGTTCCCTGCCTGTTTGTGCACAATGGGGCCTATCTCCAGGTCTGTTTAAAACACACTGTATTCCTAAACGGTGTAATCGAAGGCCGCGGATGTGAACCTGACCGTGCTGAAATTGGCCTGTGTCTTGTGGTTCGACTTGGAGGATCATTCCACACCTCAGGAGGAGCTGAAGATTGGCTCCAGAGACTTGGCTACTACTTTGTCGGATTCCTGAGCTTTCGGCTGATTTGGAAATTGCTGTAATGTTGACCCTAAGGTCCCCCCCCTAGACAGGCTGGGCGGTGTCAGGCCGCGCAGCCTCCTGGTATTCTGCCCTGTTTGCACGTCGTTTTGACTTCGTCGTCTGCGGCTGGGGTTCTGAAAGCTTTGACGACTGGGGTCTGATCAAGGGGGCAACGCAAGAATCATACACACACAAAATATTTACCAGACATTTATTTAACATTAAAGTGTGACAACCAAACAAATGAAATGGTCGGTAGTGTGTAGCCTTTTCAGTTATCCGGTGCACGCATGCGCAAACACGTACAGGCACACACAGAGCATGAGCACGTGTAATTATAAGGTGCACGTTTCTCATTGGCCGCAAGCTGAGAGCCCCTGGTCTCTGTCATTCCCTAATTTTGAATTATCAGTCAGTTCTTTGAGGGACCCCCTTGAAGGATCCCCTAGATGTCAGCCTTCCATGCTGCTTGTCAGAGCTTTCTGATTGGTTGATATGGGTGTTCCCTCCCCTTCGCTCTGGTTGGTTGGTCTGTCCTGGCACCATCCATTGATCTGCCTTCCCTCTCTTTCCAGCCAAAGAGGAGCACACTGTGCCAGAGGTCTCTGGTAGAGCAGCCGTTGTAGGAAACTCCGGGTGAGTAGAGCAGGGGCTGGAGTTACCCTACAGCAGTGGTTCTCAATCTTTTCGCACTGCGACCCAATTTTCACCACGCCAGCTCAGTCGCAGCCCTATATCGAGTATAGGTTTAAATTAAGGCTATGATCAGGCTCACAGTGCACTCTGCAATTTACGCCAATCAATGCTTATTGTACAAATCTGTTTGGATGTGCCAGTGAATTTTAAATGAAGCGTTTGTGGTTTGACGACTTGGATTGGTTGAGTGTTTATTAGTTTTGTACTAAGCAGTTACGCATGAAAGAGCCATTTATATAGGTTAATTCTAGGTTTGGGGCTGGGAAATCTGATCGTGGATCAGCACAGGAGCTTTCTGGGGCTTTACCTGCTCCCTTACCCCCTATCCCCCCACCTCCCCCCTCCGGGGACTGGGGCTTAATCCGCTCTTACCCCCGCCCCCCCCCCCCCCCCCCCCCCNATGGTTGCATAGGGGACATTTCAGATGGATGTAGGAAGCTTGGGGGTCCATCATAAATCTGTAGATGTCAGTATTGCACCATCTGGGGTGTTGGGGGGGGGGGGGGGTCTGTTCCCTGAGCAGCTGGGGTGGATTCTGGCCCATCCCCAGTCAGATGGGGTTTGGAATTTCTGAGGGGGGCGGGACTTATTCACCACAGCCATATTTTGACTGTGGGGGCCACCAGAGCGGCATCTCACAGTTGGTTTCTGTGCTGCCTTTCAGGAATTGAAGCCACTGACCTAACCAGCCTTCTGGAGCAGTTTGAGGAGACTCAAGGTAGGTGGGGGGGGGGACACCCGGCATCTCTCTCTCTCCCTCGCTCTCCCCCACCCAGAGCCCGGCGGCCAAATCGCGCATGTTCGGTAAACACTGGGTTCTGGGGCTATTTTCAGGCAGTGACTGATGGGCCGGCATGCGCCTATCAAATTTCCAGGCCAAGGGGTGGGACCTCAAGCCTCTTGTTTAAAATATTTATGAGGGGGTGTGTGTTCCCTGCCTGTTTGTGCACAATGGGGCCTATCTCCAGGTCTGTTTAAAACACACTGTATTCCTAAACGGTGTAATCGAAGGCCGCGGATGTGAACCTGACCGTGCTGAAATTGGCCTGTGTCTTGTGGTTCGACTTGGAGGATCATTCCACACCTCAGGAGGAGCTGAAGATTGGCTCCAGAGACTTGGCTACTACTTTGTCGGATTCCTGAGCTTTCGGCTGATTTGGAAATTGCTGTAATGTTGACCCTAAGGTCCCCCCCCTAGACAGGCTGGGCGGTGTCAGGCCGCGCAGCCTCCTGGTATTCTGCCCTGTTTGCACGTCGTTTGATTTCATCACAAAATCCTGGAGTCGGACCTCCCGGGTTTTCCGACTTCGTCGTCTGCGGCTGGGGTTCTGAAAGCTTTGACGACTGGGGTCCGATCAAGGGGGCAACGCAAGAATCATACACACACAAAATATTTACCAGACATTTATTTAACATTAAAGTGTGACAACCAAACAAATGAAATGGTCGGTAGTGTGTAGCCTTTTCAGTTATCCGGTGCACGCATGCGCAAACACGTACAGGCACACACAGAGCATGAGCACGTGTAATTATAAGGTGCACGTTTCTCATTGGCCGCAAGCTGAGAGCCCCTGGTCTCTGTCATTCCCTAATTTTGAATTATCAGTCAGTTCTTTGAGGGACCCCCTTGAAGGATCCCCTAGATGTCAGCCTTCCATGCTGCTTGTCAGAGCTTTCTGATTGGTTGATATGGGTGTTCCCTCCCCTTCGCTCTGGTTGGTTGGTCTGTCCTGGCACCATCCATTGATCTGCCTTCCCTCTCTTTCCAGCCAAAGAGGAGCACACTGTGCCAGAGGTCTCTGGTAGAGCAGCCGTTGTAGGAAACTCCGGGTGAGTAGAGCAGGGGCTGGAGTTACCCTACAGCAGTGGTTCTCAATCTTTTCGCACTGCGACCCAATTTTCACCACGCCAGCTCAGTCGCAGCCCTATATCGAGTATAGGTTTAAATTAAGGCTATGATCAGGCTCACAGTGCACTCTGCAATTTACGCCAATCAATGCTTATTGTACAAATCTGTTTGGATGTGCCAGTGAATTTTAAATGAAGCGTTTGTGGTTTGACGACTTGGATTGGTTGAGTGTTTATTAGTTTTGTACTAAGCAGTTACGCATGAAAGAGCCATTTATATAGGTTAATTCTAGGTTTGGGGCTGGGAAATCTGATCGTGGATCAGCACAGGAGCTTTCTGGGGCTTTACCTGCTCCCTTACCCCCTATCCCCCCACCTCCCCCCTCCGGGGACTGGGGCTTAATCCGCTCTTACCCCCGCCCCCCCCCCCCCCCCCCCCCCCCCCCCGGGGGCGGGGGGCTTATCCCCCCCTTCCCCCCCCCCCCCCCCCCCCCCCCTCTGGGGACTGGGGTTTTACACACTCTTACCCCCCCTTTCCAGGGACTGGCATTAACACGGCTGCCATTCTTCTGTCCACAGGAAACCAGTGGAGCGCTCGGTCCTTCCTGACCTGGCCAGTACCGCCGGTAAGTCCCATTGTCTCTAAAAGTGCTGCTGTGTTACCATGACTACAAGGACCGTTACTTCCGGTCCAGACTGAATCCATGGTTACCTGTACAGTTAGCTGGGAATTTCGGGACCGTCTGAAACCCACATGCAGATACGTAGCATATAACCTGCCACCTGAACTATCCGCCTCGGGTAACTCCCGCACATTTATGAAAGCCCACTAATGTGGGATATGTGTTGTTCCAGGTCTCACGCCCCCGGCCACCCCCCCTCACCAGACCTGGAAGCCCCTGACCCCAGTGGCCCTCTTGGCGAAGCCCAAACCATCCCCCACCAAGGCCATCCAGATCATCAACCCTCGGCCACTGCCCCCCAGCAAGCCCCGCAGCAAGCCCCCTGCCCAAGCCATTGCCCCCACACACCACCCAGCTTTCGCCGATCATGATTACTGCCGGCCCTCCGAGGGGCCTGCACCTACAGAGCCGGCCTCAGCCATCTGCATCCAGCAGCAGCCTGGTGTGGCCGTCCTGCCAGTAAGGGGCACTGTCTCTGCCCCGACCCCCCAGTGTGCCTTCCCCATGGGGGTGTCTGCCAAGCCCCTGGACCACAGGACTCAACCTGAGGCAAAGGCTCACCCCGTCATAGGCTCAGTGCTGCTGTCCCCCGAAGCCTCACCCTCCAGGACGGAGCCCATCCCCCAGGAGGCAGGTCTTGTGAAGAGCAGAAGCTCTGCCTACCGCCCGTCTGGGCACCCTGACCGACCTGCTGTCCACGAAAGGGGCCGGTCACAGCGGCGGTACAGAGCCCGGTCTCCCAGCCCCTCCTCCAATAGTAGCTCTGAGTCGAGCTCCTGCTCGTCGTCAGAGTCCCGATCCCAGTCTCGGTCTCAGTCTAGATCAACCTCTCCGCCCAGAAAGAGGTCAGTGAATGGGAGGGGCTTATGAACATAACATATGAGCAGGTGCTGATTACTTGTTTACACCCCAGTTGGCAGAGTTGAGCTTATGATACGATGTGGGGTCTCTGCCCGCCCAGGTTCTGCTCCCGCTCTCGCCGTTCTGGCAGCAGTTCTAGCTCCTCGTCCCGATCCAGTTCCCGCTCACAGTCCCGCTCTCCGCCTCGACGGCGCTGTGGCTCCTACTCCAGCTCCCGCTCGCGGTCCTGCAGCCGTTCCCGGTCGCGCTCGCCGTGCTGGAGGAGGGCCAGCCACAGGTCGGTGTACCGGGAGGGGGTTCACATGCACTTCACCATGGGAACCCCGGCACTCTGCTTGTGGCTGAGGTCGGACGTGTGTGCGTCTGTTTGTGCACTTGAAAGGTATTCGGAAAAATGTATAGATCAGTGTTTTCCAATCTGGTCCTCAGGAAACCGCAGTCAGTCCACCTCTGTGGATCCCAAAGAACCAGACTGGGAAACACTGGCATGAATTGCCAGGTGTCATTACCAGCAACATGGCAAATGCTTAATAACTGTTTTGTGACTTAAGCTGCTTCATTACTACTTTTCCTTCTTAGGTTCCTTGCCCCCTTTAACCTTGCAGTGGTTGCTTTGAAGATCTTCATTTTTCTTTTTCTTTTTAAACCTTGCAGCCCTAATTATAGACACAACTACCGTTACAACTCCCGAGAGGCACATCAGCCGCAGGACGTGAATGACCGCAAGCAGAAAGCCATCGTGAGTTACACTCGTTTGCCTTCACGGTCATGCCGTCCCTGTGGGGTCTCGTCAAAAATGGCTGCTGTCTGCTGATGTCACACTGCCCCACGGGGAGCTTCTCCGTCCAACATCTGTCCAGCTCAGAGTACTGATTTGATCAAGCTTGGTTACTCCAAATGAAGACATACTTATAGACTTGGTGAAATGGGAGGTTCTAGGATGGTAATTTTGGTCCCCCAAATGCTTTTGTCTCCCCCAGGAGGAGCGGCGCGTGGTGTATGTAGGGAAGATCCGCGGTAGTATGACCCGCAAGGAGCTGAAGGAGCGCTTTTCCCTCTATGGGGAGATCGAGGACTGCACCCTGCACTTTCGGGAGCATGGGTGAGGACGGCTCTATGCTGGCGAAAAGTGGCCTTAGGGGTCGCACCTTTGATGGAGCTTTGAGGATCTCTGGTGCCCTCTTGTGGACCGAACCCATGATGACAGGCCATGTAATTACCGGTGCCAATTTGCTCCTCCCACAGGGACAACTATGGCTTTGTCACCTACTACAATACAAAGGACGCGTTCAGCGCCATTGAGAACGGAGGCAAGCTGCGGCAGTGCAACGAGCTGCCCTTTGACCTCTGCTTCGGGGGTCGTCGGCAGTTCTGCAAGTCCAACTACGCGGACCTGGGTATGTTTTGAGTTATTTCATGTCGGGGTGCTGTCTCACTGCCTGTTTGGCTAGTTATTGCATCTGGTTGAACTTTGGTGTGGTGGAAAAACACCCTAAAATCTATAAAAGGAATGTCATTTTTTTTCTTTCTCCTTTTTTGCAAATGTTTTAGCAAAACTTTAACCCCCTGTGCTATAATGTCCATACAGAATTGAACGTAAGAAAAAGCATTATTTTAATATAGCTGATTAGCGATGTAAGTTGGTATTAATATCGCACGTCGTCCAGGCCTATAATATATTATGTCAGATTTTTCAAATTCAGTATGAAATATCCACCTTGTTGTGATGTCATTCAGTGGACATCACACCAGTGGAAAACAAACACCATAGAGTACCGCATTTTTGATACCTCCTCGACGTACCCAATGTACGGTACCTGGTGTGTGGGGAAAAGCGTCCTTAGATTGTCATTGTCATTTGGGGCATTTGGTTGGAATTGCCCCATGCGTCTGCCCCTGTAGAGACACTAGTATAACGTCCCACCGTGTTCTTTCAGACTCCAGCCGGGAATACGAACCAGAACCGACGAAGAGCAAACTCGACGCACTAGACTTCGACACTTTACTCAGGCAGGCCAAGAAAGGTCTGAGAAGGTAACGGCAAGAGGGGGACGGAGGACGGAGGAGAGAAGACGGCACGTTACCTCAGAGCCGTGCTGGAGCGCACGCCTTCGGACACTGCCTTCCCACTCATCGCGTGTGGCTTCTGTGTCTGTTTTCACTCCCCCCACCCCTGTGTCTACAAGCTTACACCTTCTATTGAAGTGAAGATTTCTAAGAAAAATTAAAAGCATAAAAACAGTATAAAGGGAAAAAGTGCAAAAAAGAGGCAAATGTTCTTAAGAGAATATTTAAATTTTTTTTAATGCATTCTAAAATTGCATGGGCTCACCATGTATAAAAATAGGATGATGGAGAGTAAGAAAACAAATGGAATGTATTCTTTCCTAAATGCTTGGAAGAATGTGGAATGGAAATGTAATGCAAAACATTAAAAAACAATTTTAAAATGGATCTTGTCCTTTTCTCACTTACATTTTTCCCTAATACCTTTTATTTGAAATAAGTTATGTTGTAGACTTACTTTAACACACCAACTTGTAGAATGTAGTGGTGAGAATTGTGTATCAGCATGGGCTGATATGAAAATGGTTCCGCTCCAACTTGAGCTGTAATTGTGTAGATGAAAAAACGCCATTGTTTCGATATGCAGACCTTCTTTTCTAAAAACATTTATGACGGCTCTCTTCTAGGCTTTAAGCTTTTAAATCGCATGAATTCCATACTGTGGTTATACGTGGAATACTACACGGCAGTGACACGATGAAGGCTGCGGCCAATGTATCCATGAGTAATGATGTGCTTGGTGAATTATTACTAAAGCGGAAGATATTTGCCGTTGGTCTTGGCCACTATCGTTTTTAAAGTTGCCACGTAAAAATTGTATTGTCAAGGAACGCATACATTTACTGAAAAACATTACTAGATCGAAGTCTCCTGCGTAGTAAAATGTGTACGGCGCCTTTAAGGGCCCCCCTCCCCAGCGAATTTCTAAATCGGACACCGTAATTATGGGACGACCCATTCAAAACACGGTGAAAATAAAACGTTTTATGTGAAAATATTAATCATCTAAAACGGATGTTTGACTTTTCTTCGACGACCATAATGAAAAATAATATCCTACGGGTTTGGTTTATGCGTTTTTTACTCCCCTTATTTGTTTCTGACGTTGTGGGAACCGGTCTGATCCGGTTTGCTGCGCCTGCGCAGTCGGTGTAAACAGGAAGAATCAAGGAGCTGGTAAGGAAGACAGGACACGGCGGGGGAATAATTACGGTATAGCGAAAAAAAAATAAAGTAGTTTAACCCGGAGAAATGTCGTTGGTATAGAGATATACGGGGGCATCTTTACCTCTATAAAAACCGAGCTTTATAAGTTGATTCCCTCTGACAAACGGCGTGTTTAACGCGTTAGCTCGGTGGCTCGATTTGTAGCTCCTCTGTCAGCACCCCGACCCTGCGTCTTTGCTTGGCTTTACTAATCCTTGCTTTGGCGTAGCTGGTTCACGAGCGAAGTCTTGTTTCTAGCAGGTGCTGCAGCGCTCGGCGCCGCTCGGGAGGGTAGCTGGCTCATAGAGATGGTCCAGGAGGAGAAGACGATGGGCTCCGCTCCGCGCCCCGACGAGCCCGTGGCCCCTAGCCCCGTGGCCGCAGAGGCTCCGATTGAGGAGCCTGGTACCATCGAAGTCGAAAGAACCGGCCATCGGAAATTCATCAGCGGCGTGGTGGAGGGTGAGAAAAGCAGGATGGCATGGAGTGCCCCTGGGATTTATTTTGTCACGTAGTACTTAGGGCTGTTTCTAAAATAGGGTCACTCCGTGGCTGACTTGAGATTTAACCCCCCCGGAAAGCCCGATTCCGCCCGTCTGGCTCGATTGTGCACATTTTGCTGTACCGCTCTTCTTAATTTAGCTTGTCACTGGCATCACACTGATGTATCACATTGGTGCGGTTAGCGTGCCCTAATTTTGGTGGCAGATAAGCAGGGCAGCGTGAGTGAGGTTAGCGTAAACGGGCGGACGCACATGCGTTACGGAAGTGAAAACTACCATGTTCTTCCTAACCAGGAACAAGGGTCACTGTGTGAGTTTTTGGTGATTGGCCTGTTCTGTTGTTGGTGACAGGCTTCTACGGACGGCCATGGACTATGGAACAAAGGAAGGAGCTTTTCAGGAGGTAATGATTCCAGCTTGGTCTGATTACTTGGTCCAGAGATCACTCTCCTGTGTTTTATCTATTTAGCAGTTGATTATTTACAGTCCTCCTCAAGTTTATAGCGGGTCCATCCTGGGACATAAACCAGTAACCTTTCGCTCCAAAGGTGCCTCTTAAACTACCGATTCGTACTGAATCTACTGCTAAATCCTGGGCATTTTTTTTTACTGTTATTTCCTTGATTGATTTGGATTTGATGCTGTTTCCTGTGGCTTTAAGGAGATCTTGTTAAATGCATTGATTTCTGTAATTAAAATATGCATCTGTTGTGTATGCGTCTTTTTAAGAATCCTTCCATGTAAGTTTCCGTTTGTGTTTGAAGGTGTTTCGAACAATGGTCTGTATTCTGAGAGCATAAAATATGATTTTGTAGGCAGCAGAAATGGGGCCTGAACACATACCTATATGCTCCAAAGGATGACTATAAGCACAGAATGTTCTGGAGGGAAATGTATTCGGTCGAAGAGGCAGGTGAGACCAATACATCCCATTATGTTGAATCTCCTCCATGCTGCTCGTTCATTACATCTGTATAGTTACAGGCGGCTAATTTCCTTGTTTGTGTCTCTGGAAGAGCAACTGATGACCCTCATGGCCTCTGCGAAAGAACACGGCATCGAGTTCATCTATGCCATTTCCCCTGGACTCGACATCACGTTCTCCAACCAGAAGGAAGTCTCAACCCTCAAGAGGAAGCTGGATCAGGTATCGGGAAAGGGGAGCAACCGTCACCACGGCAGCGAATCCATCCAATAGGGGAAGGTCTTATGTGACCTGTGGCTTGGCGTCACACATCAGGGGTCGCCTTTAATAACTCTCACTTTTGTTTATTAGATAGGCTCCTGTGCATGTTTAGAAATACACACTGTGCTTATTTTAATATTAAATGACTGTTCTAAAGGGCAAGGCAGGGTCACAGTGCTGGTCTCCATTCCTCCAGGTGTCTCAGTTCGGGTGTAAGTCCTTCGCCTTGCTTTTCGATGACATCGATCCCAATATGTGCCCTGCGGACAAGGAAGTGTTCAGCTCCTTTGCACACGCTCAAGTGTCCATCACCAATGAGATCTACCAGTACCTGGGAGAGCCAGAGACGTTCCTCTTCTGTCCCACAGGTGGGGGGATGAACAGACATGTTGCAGACTGATTAAAGTTGTGTGGAATCCCCACGTTCTTGTTTGTGCCGTCTTACAACAAAACTCAATGCTTGTTTCCTGTTGCATTCTTTTGAAGGTGTTGCTTTTTACGGAGTTGGGCTGGTTGTCCTCATTCTTATACATTTCTGTTATATTCTTCACAATAGAAGATGTTCCTCCCACATTCTTCTCATTGCTCTAGGAAAATAGCTTCTTTAACTGCACATGCTCTGTCTAATGGAAATGATCTCTCATGCATTTGATGTCTCGCAGAATACTGTGGAACATTCTGCTGCCCCAGTGTCTCCCAGTCTCCTTACCTGAGGACAGTGGGGGAAAAACTGCTGCCGGGCATCGAGGTGTTGTGGACAGGCAAGTCCTCTGGGTCTCTTCCATGGATCCTTGGAAGATCTGCAATGCATTCTGTCACAAAGTCATTTTACCTGTTGTCCCCTCTTTGTGTGAGATGGTTTTTTTAATATCTGGATTTCTTTTAAAACATTTTTCCACCAAAAATGTTAATTTTGAGGACATTTCCCCTGTCTTTACCCAGGTCCCAAAGTAGTGTCAAAAGACATAACGGTTGAGTCCATCGAGGAGGTGACGAAAATTTTGAAGAGAGCCCCAGTTATCTGGGACAACATCCATGCCAACGATTATGACCAGAAGCGGCTCTTCCTGGGCCCCTATAAGGGACGATCCACAGAGCTCATTCCCCGTCTGAAGGGGGTCCTCACCAACCCCAACTGTGAATTCGAGTCCAACTTTGTGGCAATCCACACCCTGGCCACCTGGTACAAGTCCAACATGAATGGTGTACGCAAGGATGTGGTCATGAGTAAGTGGGGTCTGGGCTTATTGGAAGTGAACCTGAAAGTGAGGTGTGTGTGTGTGTGTGTGTGTGTGTGTGTGTGTGTGTGATACTGACATTTAAAGGGGAAGAAGGCGGCATGTGAGCAGTGAGGTCTCTTGGTCACAGTTTGTTAAAGTGAATATTTTAAGTTTGTACTGCTGTGTGACACAGACCATTGTGACTGAGTCTGTTTGCTTGTTCCAACACAGTGCCCTGTGCCATAAATCTCTGGGATGCATATCATTGTTATTGTCGTTATTATTATTATTATTTATTATTATTGCCATGACTGTTATTTCTAATACAGAAATATAACTGTCTTTTGCTCTCTATACGATGGTAAAATCCAAATATAACACAACCAGGGGCTATCTGAAGTCCGAATGTGCGTTACAGTATTAGACTCTGACAGTCTGACGCTCTCTCAGAAATAATCAATTCAGGAATCTGTGACGGGGGAAAAACCCAGAAAGGAGGCCTCTTTCCCTCCCACTACCCCCCTCCCCGGTCGCTCACACACTCTCTGTTCTCTCTAACACCCCGTGCCCACTTCTCCCCAGCGGACGGTGAGGACACGGCGGTATCCATCCAGATCCGTCTGGAGAACGAGGGCAGCGACGAGGAGCTGGAGACCGACGTGCTGTACAGCCCCCAGCTGGCCCTCAAACTGGCGCTGACTGAGTGGCTGGCCGAGTTCGGGGAGCCCCACCAGTACAACAGTAAGGGACCGCCCTCACGCTTCCCTGAGGAAGCGAGCCACACAGTGTTCTAAGGGGCGGTGCCCAGAGTCTCTCTCATGAATAATGCAGTGGTGTGACTCCTCCCACTCACGGGTGGCTCAGACTGCTGCATGAATGTGTTTCCCCGGGTTTCTGCGGATGGTTAAAACGGGTTTCTGCCGCTCCCCTGCGGCAGGTCGGCAGGTGCCCCACAGCGGCCCCAAGAGCTCCGCGGTGGACGTGGCCTCCGTCACCTCCCCCAGCCTCGGCTCGTCCACCACAGTCACCACCGTCTACCAGCAGCCCATCATGAGCCGGGTGCCGGCCGCGGGGGAGGGGCAGCGGGACCCGGCCAAGCGGGAGCTCGACGAGGAGCCCATGGAGACCGCCGCTGAGAAGCCCGATGACCCGGACGCCGCTGCCCCCGCCGACCCCACCCTCACTGAGGGCGCCAAAGCCACTGAGGATCTCAGGCCTATGGACACAGACCGCGAGGCCGGCGGTGAGCTGGCCTCTCCGGAGGCCCCGCCTCCTAGCGCGCCGGAGGACCCGGGCGGCGACGTGGCGCCCATGCAGACGGATGAGCAGCTGGGCCGCGAGCCCTTCGTGCCGGGCCCCGGGGAGAAGCCGCTGTATGCGGCTGAGGCCCTTACGCTGGACGACCTGAGCCTGCTGGCGGAGCTGTTCTACCTGCCCTATGAGCACGGGCCCAAGGCCGCCCACATGCTCCGCGAGTTCAACTGGCTGCGCGCCAACAGCAGCGTGGTCAGCGTCAACGCCGACACCAAGGATCCCGACAAGGTGCCGAGCCGTTAGCCTAGCGCGGCTAATTTAGCAGTGTCACACATGTTAGTGCTAATAAGGGTAGCGATTGTAAACTCACTAAACAGATGCCTGCTTATATCTTTCCATAGCAGAGTTGCACTATTTTGGCTTTATCGAGCCTTCCCTCTAGAGAGCGGTACAGCAGACGTATAGTTGGCTGTGTCTTTGGAGCGCTTAATGCTAACCTGTCTTTTTGCCTTCCTGCCTGTAGGTGGCAGAGTGGCATTCCAGAGCAGAGAAGTTCGAGGAGATGTGCTGCTCCGTCATCAGGATGTTCACCAGGCTGTCCAACTCGGCCAACCGCACCATCCTGTACGACCTGTATCCCTACATCTGGGACATAAAGAGCATCGTGTCCATGGTCAAATCATTCGTTCAGTGGCTGGGTAGGTTCACGCTGCGTTTGGCGGGCATCACAGCAGGACAGTGGCTAGATTAGCCCAAGGACATTAGGGAAGGATTCCTTGCACCAGTTTTAGCAAAACCCATATTTCCTCGAGACTGTGATAACATACCTGTCATTTGAAATCCTTGAGAGATTTAACCAAGTGCAGTCAATGTCTGCAAACTTCACGTCTCTTAGCGGCGAAGAGGGTTTTCAGACGCGATACAGAGTTCAGTGTTAAACTTGTCAGTGTTGGCAGAGAACCGGCTTCAGGTTCCTGGTTTCACTAGACAAAGTTCTTGGGCTAATGTAGAGTGATGCCTGCTTGCTTTCCTGTCTCGTGTGACATGCCTGTGTCTGTGTGTGTTGATCTCTTGAATCTGGATTTCATCTGTGTATCATTGACTGACTGAGTACTGACTGCAGCGGTTGGGTGACCCCCAGTCTCTCCAGTCCATTCCTCCCGATAGGGACATGGGCTTCTTTCATGCCCATGTGTTACATTTAACCATTGTAAAAAGTTAATTATGCAGTAATCATTCTGCCAAGCCGAGCAGCCGCTTCGGGTCTTTGTGCAGAGCTGCTTGGACAGTTACGTCCTTCTCCGTAAAAGCCAAAGGCTGTCATCAGCCCCTGTGATGCTGGAGGTGTTGGGTCCCGTGTTGAAACCTTGCTTTCCTTTGGAAGGTCTGCCATCTTGGTTCAGGTTCCTCCTCCCAGTTTAACAGCCAGCCACAGACGGTTCAGGCAGTACTCAGATGGTCGCTGCCAGGTCCTATGCTCTGAACCCTTACTAACGACTCCCTCTGCTGTTTTCTCTCCACCCCACAAACAGACGGAAGAGTCCTCTTGACCTGCGCCTGCGGCCGTCGGATCCAAAATGGCTGCCGCGTGCTAGTGCTCCTTATGTTCTTCTGCTGAACTGTCTTTGCCCTTTGGGTTTCGCGACACATCCGCGCAGCGTTAGCGCCGGGCATCTCAGCGCGTTAACTTTCTTCTCCCTCACAGGCTTTCGGTTGTCACGTTTTTTTTTTTTACGTTTGCTTGCGTAACTGTTAGACCCTGGTGAGCTGGCTCGGACACTGCCCTAAGATCTCTTCAAGCCTTTAGGGGTAGCAAGTACATAAACTTAGGAATGGGTACTGCTGGTACTCAAATGACTGATACGAAGTGAGTACTAATGTTAAGTGAGGCTTTGAAATGTGTAGCGGATGCCAGTAATTGGTGTCTAAATAGTTTCCTCCTCTAGGCTGTGTGTATGTGACAGAGGGACCTGTTGCTTTAAGAAGCATTGCCTCCAGATGTCACAGGGTGTCATTTATTTGATATATTCTGGCACCATTTGTCAGCTGAACTTTTTTTTTTTAGGTTTTTATTATGCACAGAAACATGCAGCTGGGTTAGAACTGGTTTTGTAATTAAAAATGGGGTTTTTTTCTATGCTAGGGGGGCTGCTTGCTTCAGTAACCCCAGGAGAGATCAGTCTTCCCTGCTGTTTAATGATATCTGAGCCTTAAGCTGCCATGTGTGCTGAGTGATCTGCTTAAAGGGACCAGTGCGTGGGAGGGGCACCGTAGACCCCGCTGCTCAGGAAGCACCGGGAGTACTGGCGCTTTAAGGGCAGGTGTCACAGCCAGCTCAGCTGGGTCAGCCAGTGAGAGGCGGGAATGTTCCTCCCGCTTTGTGCTACTCGTGCCTTGCCATGTGACTCGAGAAGGAGACCCCGTCTCCCAGATTCCCTGCTCTCGCTGGACCTCAGAGGTCTGGGGTTTACGCGTCACTGGGCTTGCATAACACTCGGCCTCGTTACCCAGCCTGAAACTGCTTGTTATGAGGGATTCTTCCTTCAGATGAAAAGCCCTTTAATTGTTTTACACCAGGTGTCCTTCTCTAACATCACATGGCCAGGCACACATTTCAGAAACGTGATTTTGGGTTCAGCATGAGGTACCCTGGAGCACGAGCGATTTCAGCAACGAAAATGTGGGCCAGTTAAACAACCCCCCCCCCCCCCACAGCATATCTGAGCTCCTCACAGACAGGGGGCAGGCAGAGTCCTGGTGGGTGAAGCTCTCCAGGCTGTATGGTGCGTATATGTACAATGTGCCTTTTAATGATGTACTCGCACACTGATTGGCTGGTGCAAAAGAATCGGCTTATTTATGAGATATAGTTAGTACTTGGGTTAAATTTGTGTGTGGCTCTGAGTTGTAATCAGTAATCAGAAGGTTGCTGGTTCATATCCTCTGCCTAGCACATTTGGGCCCCTAAAAGAGGCCCTTAACACCTACTGCTCCTGGAACTGGCCAGCTCAGGTCTCTGGTCCTCATTTGTGTTCTGCTTCGGACAGAAGCATCTGCCAGGTTCAATGCTCCAGGGTTCCTACATCTGAAGTTTCTTCTTGTTCTTGACTTGTCTTTTGTACTTGTATCTTTTAGTATGGACACAGTTGTTGCTCTTGGCGTGGCTGCCATGCCCAGCGCTCTGTCGTAACGCTTTCCGCTTGGCTCTGATCCCCACAGGGTGCCGTAGTCAGTCCTCGGCACAGTTCTTAGGCGGAGACCCCGAGCCGTGGGCCTTTAGGGGCGGTCTGGCGGGGGAGTTGCAGGTATCATGTCCCACTGATTGTTCTGTGAAGGAAATTCGGTGTGTGTGCCGCTGTAAGCGAGGAAGCTTGGTCTGCCTTTAAGGTGCCAATCAGTCACGCCTTTGATACTTGTAATGGGGAGGTAGGGGTTAACAGTCGAGCCTTAAAGCGGAAGGTTCTAGAGCTCTGCCCTTTGCCCTGAAGTGGACTCTCCACAGTGAGCCGGCTGCATTCCTCAGCCCCTGCGCAGGCGATGCTGCTCCCCCTCCCCCCCCCAGCGCAGGCAAACGCGCAGCGCAGCTAGGCTCTGCATTCATGACATTTCATTTCTTTGCAGGAAGCACAGTGATAAGAGCCCCCCTCCCCCTCCTCCTTCCTGCGCAGCGTCCTTGCGCCCGCGCCCCAGCACGCTATAAAACGCGCCCCGCACTAAGGCCCGCGCCGAGGGCCCGGGGGCGCGGCGCTGCGCTGCAGAGGCCGAGATCCAGCCCTGGCTCCACCCCTTCGCTGAGAGCGAGCCAAGCCGTTCCGGGCTTCTCCCACTTGCCCGTCCACCCGGCATGTCCACGTCCCCCCGCGTCATCACCTCTCTCTGCAGGACTCCCAGCGCAGCGACAGCGCCCCCATGAGGTGGCAGGGTCCGGGGGGGGGGCAGCAGCATCTCCACAGCCAGTCGCACCCTTTTCAGACCAAGTCTTTTCTCACAGGGCCCTCACGGTTTCTATCGCTATGTGACGTACAGACTGTTTGAGAGTCAGACTAGCCGGCAGGCGCACAAACTCCCGAGGAAAAGTCCCAAAGAACGCTGTGCTTATTCCCGATTGGCTGAATTAGAACCAGGGCACCCAGTGTAGTGTTGGTGAGTAAAGCACAGTGTTAGATTTAAGTCAGAACGCAAAGCACTATCAGTGTCTCCAGACAGCTTTGTGATGGCCTTTTTAGGTGCATACGTTTAGTTTTGAGTGTAGAAGATTTCACCTGTAAAACTCCGGAGGAGATCCCGTTGCTATGGGCGACCCCCTGAACCTCCCCTTTTGACCGTCCACAGCGTCTGCTGCCCATCGATGGGGCTAACGACCTTTTCCACCAACCGCCTCCCTCCATGCCTACCTCCAAGACGTACTCCATAAGGCCGTACTTCCCCAAGGACGAGGTCAGTGCGGGGGGGGACCTACCATGTGCTGCTGGCCATTCTGTGACCACTTAGCAATGAGAAAAAGCTAGACAACTGGAGGAGGCCTTCAGTGTCTCCACCGTGCTGCTTGGTTCCGAAGGGCGGTTTCAGCTCCCGGTCCTCCTACCTCATCTCTGTATCTCGTTGTGCATTTCAGGCTGCTGTATACAAGATATGCAGGGAGATGTACAAGGAGGGGGTAGAGGGGGTAGAGGGGGTGGAGGTGGAGGTGGAGGTGGTGGAGGGGGTGGACGGAGGCCCCTTCCCAGAGCAGCCGGATCTCATTGGCGACAGGTGAGCCGCACGGTGTTCATTTGGGGCAAGGGTGTTGCTGTTTACTCTGTGCACTGCAGGGTCTGACCAGTAGGGGGCGCTTTGGGTAACTTTATCCCAGGTTTGTCGGAGGCCTTCTGAACCTGAGCCCTGATTACGGCTTCGTCCTGGAGGATGAGGAGGGGATCTGCGGCTATGCCCTGGGCACGGCCGACGTCAAGCCCTTCGCCAAGAAGTGCAGGATGAGCTGGATCCCCAGCATGCAGGAGAAGTACAACAAGCCGGACTGTGAGAAGGACCTGACCGAAGCCGAGGTGGGCGCGCTAGTGAGCCGCGTCCCGGCGGCCGTCTGCCTGCCCGCTGCTGCCAAGCCTGCACCGTCCGTGGCAGAGGATATCCAGTCTTAGCCTGGCTCACTCGTACCCGCTCTCCCCGCTTCTGTCGTCTAGAAAATGATGCTGAGCTTCCACGAGGAGGAGGAAGAGGAAGGTCTGCCAGACTCCTTCCTCAGTAACTTCCCCTCCCTGATCAAAGTGCAAATCCACACCAAGGTTACAGACCCCAGCGTGGCCAAGAGCATGATGGGATGCCTGCTGTCGTCACTCAAAGCCAGCGGTGGGTATCTTGGGAGGGTCCGGCTAATGAAAGACCTCGCCGTCTTCAGGTGCTGGGGTGGGCTTGTGCTAACAATGCAAAGGTTGTCGGTTCAAATCCCAAGAAGCGCACACAAATTGTAATCCTGCCCCTTTACTGTAAGTTTTCTTTGGATAAAAGTGTCAGATAAATGATTTAAATGTAAATTCTTGAGGGCAAGTAAGTCGGTTACCTTATTCTCCCCCCCCCCACCCCCCCCAAGGCTCCCACGGCGCCTTCTGTGAAGTGAGGCAGACCGACAAGCGGATGCTGGACTTCTACAGCAAACTGGGCTGCTTTGAGGTGGCCAAGATGGAGGGCTTCCCAAAGGACGTTATCATCATGGGGCGGAGCCTGTGAGGCGGCCGTGCGAGGGAGCAAACCCACGACCCACCACCCGAACATTACCGTCGCAGTTAGCGGAGCCTGCCCCCCCACCCACGCTGCTGCACGAGCGCGTGCCCCGTCACCAGTCAGCACAGGACGCCCTGCCGGCTTGAAGCAGCATCTCATAGCTCACTGCTGAGTGTTCATTTGCTTTTACTCTGTTATTATATCTATATATATTTTTTTTGAGAAGGAGGAAAGTTGTTGGCGAGCTTGTGAACTTGGGGGGTCTTGCAGGGGAATGTCTGAGTCTCCTATAACTCTCATTGTGATTGTATCAGACCTCCAGCTTGAGGATGACTGCATCTGTGCGTGGGTGCCCCCATTTACCCCCCGCTTCTCGCTGGGGATCGTTTGGCTTGGGGGAGGCGTGACCATTTTCCTTAGAAGGGCTGCTCGACTCGTCTCTTCTCGTCTAGGGGTGGTGACCATAATGAAAACACAGCAATCATTAAAAACATTAGTTTGAAGAAAAAAGACAAAGCTTAATATTCAGCAGCTGCTCCCTAATCGGCAGTAGGCAGGTTCTGCTGTTAGCTCTGTGGTGTCGCCTCAGTCGCCCACTGTTTGAGCACGGTTCTAACTGCTGAGGCGGGCGGCGATGTTCCTCGGTGATGTTCCCCGGGTGCACTGCTCCATTCGGTGCCTGGACTGGGGCGTGGGAGGTCAGATCTGCCCGCTGACTGTCGGGTGGGAAGGCTGCAGGATGTCCTTTCTGCTTCCTGACTGTGAGCGGACCCCCCCCCATACTTAACGTCTAATAAAGTGAAGCCGAAGAGGGCGACTTTTGAGACCTGTGACCCATTAGCGTTTTTAAATCGACTTCGGCTTTGACGTGCAGACGGTTTCAGTGGACGTGCACTGAGTTTATACCCACAAGATTTGTGCCGAGACCCTGTAAATCCAGTCCCCGCAGGATTGGGCGTTACTGGTCCTTTGCTGGATCGGATCAGCACCCGGCCCGGTTGGGTGTACTGATACGAGGGAGCCCTGGTAAGCGATCACATGGCTCTTGAATGCCCCGAACCTCATCTTAGGTGATATTTGCTGTGAACATGCTATAGCTAACAAAGTATTCCATTCACTTCTCCTTTATTGATGTTGAAACGTTTGGTGTCGCTGTATAGAGGTGGTTTAAGCATTTCTCTTCCTTTGCTTAGCTGGGTGTCGTATTCAGGCTGACCCCCCCCCCCCCCCCCTCCACTTTAGTCTCAGTTTCTGCTCCTTCTTACTGTTGATGATTTGCCAGCCTTCAGGTGCTTCTTTGCTCCTCCTATGATACAGCAGCTTGTCCCACGTGGGATCTGAGCCGACGCCCTCATGGTCACCATGAACCCAGGTCCTTCACCACTGCATTGGTTGTCCATGTAAAGAATGTGAATACTTCATGTAAGTAATCTGTATGTAATTTAATGTAATTAGTGTTTCAATTTTAATAAAGTTCTGCTCTTTACTCTGACTGCCCTACTGTGTTACCGTGGTTTCAGATGAGATTTCCAGTAAAAACTTACTCGAGTCCGTGCTGAAGAATGCGAACAAGGTGAAGAATGCGAACAAGGTGAACCGTGAGCTGCAACCTCAGGAGGTTCATTCAGAATTCAGAATTCAGGGTTATGTGGCCAATTATGTTCACACATGCAGGAAGCTTGTGTCAGTAGCGGACATATACAGAAGGTACAGAGGTACAATCCAGCCTGTAACTGCCCAACACCCTCCGATGATGGGTCCCTCACCCCAACGCCACCCACAGGTCCCCCTCAGTAGATCGGGAAAAGGGGGGGGGGGGATGCATGTTGGTGCCAGGAATACTGGAATAAATACAAAAGGTACAAGAATATACAACAACGGAAGCATGTGACACGGCACGGTTAAATTAAAAGGTGGGTCTGGCACATGTGGCAAGCGGATGTCCTGTAAGAACACGCCCCCAGCCTCTCCTGTGGGCTCGTACCACACCCCTTTCGAGTTTCGCTTCCTCATATTCCATTCCTCACAGCCAGGAGTCCAGCTGTAGCAGAGGCTGAGGTACAGTAGAGGTGAGCTCGTGTGCAGAACTTCTGACTGACCACTAGAGGGAGCCGCTGAGGCACTGAAATCCAAAACAAGCACGTTTTGAATTCGCCTTCAGTGAAAATGGTACATGGACGTCTATGCGCCATGAATGCATGTGATGTAAAATACACAGTGAATGTCCTGTACAAGGAATACAAACAAAATGTTGCGTATTCAGAGTGACCCATAAACACTGCAAGACTTGCTCTGCTTTAGAAGGTTTTTAGATTGCTGCTATTTTGCTACTTATCTGACCTTTCAAATTGACTTACATGTCATGTACCCTTTAAATAGCTGAATATTTTTACTGGGGGCAGTTAGGATGATCTATGTGTCATGGAAGTGTTTCTCATCAGACCCAGAAGCAGCACCTTCTGACCAGATGAGTGTGAGGTTACCAGGCCGTTACCTAACCTTTACATTTTATTTTTACTGGCAAATTTACCAATTTAATGAACTACAGCGATGCAGCAAGTCCCAGCTGGGATGTTACCTTTGTACCATTAAAATAACAGTTTCAGATATTCCGGTAAATACAACAGAATTTTAAGCAATTTCACCACAGATTAAAAAATAACCCCCCTCTAGGTCATGTGATTAGTGCTGGTCAGCTGACCCGATCGAGGGCTCATGGAACAGTCAGGTGATCAGGTGGAGGTCCCCCGCCATCCGCCATGCACTGTTTCCTTCACACAGCAGCAGTAGTAAGACCCTCCCTGCTTCCAGAATTTTCTCAGTGCAGTTAAAACAGAAGCTCCACGCTGGATGTGGATCCAGTAGAGATGCCCTCACAGATGAAGTTACTCCACCTTCTACACCTCCATCCCTTCTCCTCTGACTCCAGAGCCCACTGCTATTCTTCTAAATCAGACAGAAAATAACAATAATTGGTCATTAATCATAAATACAGGTGTATGTTGTGCAATGGGGGGCGGAGGGCGGATGTTTAGCCCCCGGTGGTGGAGCTGTGGGCTGGTGGCGGCCCCTAACCCCAGGGTTATGACAGTGATGAGCGATCGGCCAGGGGAAGAACCGGCAGTGGCTCCAGAAAAGGTCGACAAATGCAGTGGAGGAAAGAGATTCAAGGCAGCTGTTATATATATTTTTTTACCCCTGAATAATAATAATAATCGGTATTTTATTGGAAATTTATAGGAATGCATCCCCTACAGGACAAACAATGGCACCCAGTGAAGATCTGGTTACATAGCCATAAAGGTTGGAGATGCACCCCCCCCCCAAAACATTTCATACTTAGATGAAAAGAAGCTGCAATGCTGAGATTTCATGCTGGCCAGCTGTCTGCCAGCCCATAATTAGCTTTCAAAACAATTAGCTGGCATCTGATGGCAATTGGGTCAATATGGTGATGGGGCATGTGTGGACTGTACCATCTGTGCTTAGGGGTAAAAATCCTCTCCCTGTGCATAGTCACACAATTGGATCAGGTTGAGCGGCATGTTGATGTCTCCCTGCTGTTGGGACCATGATGGAACAACATCAAAAAGAAGTGTCTGGGAAATGGCATGCCTCAACAAATCCCCGCTAACTCGCTAAGTCCGCGCCAGCCAGGAGCCTCCAGTTCCTTGAGGACAAAGGTGCCGCCTTCCAATTAGCTTCAGCACCATCATCTTTTTATATCAATATGTATCTGAGGCACCTGCCTGCTAACACCCGCAGAATAAGGCAGACTCTGCAGGCCTGAGAGCGGGGGCTGGCAAAGTCCCCTAACAGCACGTTAATTGACCCTCTGGCCGTTGTCCTCATTAAGCCATGAGCAAGTGTTAGCGGATGTGACTACCTCTGGCAATTGCCATGGCAACAAAGATTAGAGGCAGTTGTGAAGACGAAAGGCCAAACGAGATTGCATTAAGGACATAGGAGAGGATTAGCTTGGCTTTGACTTTAAAGACCCAGGCACATCATGTACAGACTTATGGGAGTGTATAATATAATGTTATGTAAAAGTACGGGATGTCTGTTCTTTCTGACTCCCGCCTCTGCTCCTCTTCTCCGGGGGGCGGTGCACAGATCAGGAGGTGAGGGGTCACAGCTGACTCCAGCCTCTGCTCCTCTTCTCCGGGGGCGGTGCACAGATCAGGAGGTGAGGGGTCCCAGCTGACTCCCGCCTCTGCTCCTCTTCTCTGGTGCCCTGCTCTCTGACCTCAGCACTTTCCTCACTTGGATGTTGCTTTGAACAAGAGCTTTGGCTAATAAATGCTAAATAAATGCAATCCCGCCGCTGGCATTGTATCATTAGATTAAATTAGATAAGATGAATTTTATTAATAACATAAAGGGAAAATTCGGTGTTGCAGTGATACATTGTTACATAATGCAAGTTTCTTGACACGTTTCGCTGCATTTAAACCCCATTTCACAAGGAGACGATAACATGAGATACACTATATTGCCAAAAGTATTGGGACACCCCTCCACATCATTGAATTCAGGTGTTCCAATCACTTCCATAGCCACAGGTGTATAAAATCAAGCACCTTGGCATGCAGACTGCTTCTACAAACATTTGCGAAAGAATGGGTCACTCTCAGGAGCTCAGTGAATTCAAGCGTGGCACCGTGATAGGATGCCACCTGTGCAATAAGGCCATTCCTGAAATTTCCTCACTACTAAATATTCCACGGTCAACTGTTAGTGGTATTACAACAAAGTGGAAGCAATCGGGTCTAACAGCAACTCAGCCACGAAGTGGTAGGCCACGTAAAATCACAGAGCGGGGACAACGCATGCTGAGGCGCACAGTGTGCAGAAGTCGCCAACTGTCTGCAGAGTCAACAGCTACAGACCTCCAAACTTCATGTGGCCTTCAGATTAGCCCAAGAACAGTGTGTAGAGAACTTCATGGAATGGGTTTCCATGGCCGAGCAGTTACATCACCAAGTGCAGTGAAAAGCGTCGGATGCAGTGGTGTAAAGCACACTGCCACTGGACTGTAGAGCAGCGGAGACATGTTCTCTGGAGTGACGAATCACGCTTCTCTGTCTGGCAAACTGATGCACGCGTCTGAAGAACGGTATTTGTCTGACCACATTGTGCCAACTGTAAAGTTTGGTGGAGGGTGGATTATGGTGTGGGGTTGTTTTTCAGGGGTTGGGCTTGGCCCCTTAGTCCCAGTGGAAGGAACTCTTAATGCTGCAGCATTCAAAGTCATTTTGGACAATTTCATGCTCCCAGTTTTGTGGGAACAGTTTGGGGATGACCCCTTCCTGTTCCAACATGACTGCGCACCAGTGCACAAAGCAAGGTCCATAAGGACATGGATGAGCGAGTCTGGTGTGGAAGAACTTGACTGGCCTGCACAGAGCCCTGACCTCAACCCAATAGAACACCTTTGGGATGAATTAGAGTGGAGACTGCGAGCCAGACCTTCTCACCCAACATCAGTGCCTGACCTCACAAATGCTCTCCTGGAAGAATGGTCAAAAATTCCCATAAACACACTCCTACACCTTGTGGACAGCCTTCCCAGAAGAGCTGAAGCTGTTATAGCTGCACAGGGTGGGCCAGCTCCATATTAAAGCCTGTGTATTAAGAGAGGGATGTCATTAAAGTTCATGTGTGTAAAGGCAGGTGTCCCAATACTTTTGGCAGTATAGTGTATCTCCCACAAAATGGGCCTATTAGAGCCACACGGCATTCTGGGGGATTTCCCATGGCGCGATTTTTACCCTCCTGCCCCCAGCATCAGCCTCTCCTCTCATTAGAGGGGTTATGTGTGTGTGTGTGTGTGTGTGTGTGTGTGTGTGTGTTCATTGCAGGAGAATTTGCATTCTGGTCACAGCGCTCTGCAAACCCTTGGGGCCCCATGAAGCACAACGTTGGTCACTGTTACAGCTATTTATGAGTTTCTTGCCTTCATCTCTGCTCTCTTTCTCATCCCTCACTCCCTCTTCCCTCTCATGTCCCGTATCCCTGTCTATTTGTCACCTACCTGCCTTCCTCCAAGGGCCATCCCCCTCCCAACTCCCTCCCCCCTGTCTCGTCCTCTCCTCCTGGCTCTCCTTCCTCTCTCCCTCTCTCCTTCCCTGCCTCCCTCCCTTCTGGATCTCCTAGCAGTGATGTCCCTCCTGCCTGACTCACGCCTCCTCTCCTCTTCTCTGCTCTCCAGCTCCGCGCCTGGTGCCGTTCGCCCGGGTCGTGCTGCGGGTTCCGCTGGAGCCCCGGTCGAGTCGCGGATGGGGGGGCAGTCTCGGCTGTGAGAGGTAAGCCTTTGCTTTTCTGAATGAGTCCCAGCTTACAGGTAGGCTACCTGAACAGACTCGTCGCAAGGGCAACGCGATCCTACAAGTCTATTGAAATATTTACATGCGTGAGACTGTCAGAGGGAAGTTGTTCAAATGGCATGTTGGTTGTGTTTTTATCTTTCCTGTGTTTAAATGACTGGTTATGAAAACAGTTTGCTCCAAATATGCAAGATTAAAGCATGGATCTTGTCACTTTAATGTATAAGAACTACGGCGAATTCAAAGGTTTAACTAAGCCTTTGCGGTTCCCCTCTTTACTTTGTCGTTTATATTTTTCCCACTTGTCCACTTACCAGTGTCCATACCATCCTCCTCCGCTGTAGATGTTTTGTGGGAGTGATTTGGTATTAAAGACAGTTGTTAACGATATTGTCTGGATTTTGTCATTTTAATGTTCCGCACTGGCAGGAAGCGTCAGCGTCAGTGAGTAGGGGGTGAATCGCACACGTTTTTCTAAGGCTGTTTGTCTTCTTCAGCCTCTCTTGAATGTCACTTCGTTTCTGAAGCGGGAGAGACGCCAAATTCCGTTTAATGTGACCTAAAGTCAAAATGCACGGCGATCGGCAGAGTGTCGCGGCCCATGTGCCGCGGTCCTGACCCGTTTGCCCCTTTGGATGCAGCTACCGAGCCCATGAATAATTGAGGAGCGCTCCGGTTTCGCTGCCTTCACTGTCTCTCCCGTATGTTGGCAGCTGTCCTCTACATTTCTGCTGCCCTGGACCATTTCCACTTCAGGACTTTTATCAAAAAGGCTTTAGTGGATACCGGAGACATTTTTTTTTTTTTACTGCGGGGCGTTAAATATCGCCTCGGGGTAAAAAGTCTTTCGAAGGCAATGGCACATTAACTGGCTCTTGTTTGGGGGGTAACCAGCACCCCACCTCCTTTACCCAGTCCCGCATTTCACGCCATCATATCCTCCTTATGCTGATAATCATAGATGTGATGCTGTGGTCGGCGCTTTTGAGTCAACACCAAATAAGAAAATGAGTACGCAATTAACGTCCTCATAATAACCGTGTAATAATGCTCCATCTTCTGCAGGTCCCTTTATAGCGCTTACTGTGTGACCTGAACACTAATGATCACAAAGCTTGTGCAGTGGAGTCTGTGGAGAGCATTAATAGGTCCAGACAGATACGCTTTACGTGATATTTAATGTCTTCGAGGTGAGTGATCCTGAAGCCACGGCCGGTAATTAAGCACTTACCGACATGCGTGTATTAGAATGCAATACTTTCTGCAAAGATCTTCACTGGTATTTTAAACTAAATGAGTTAAATATTTTACTATGTTATACGGGTGACAGAAAACCATCTTCAGATTACGGACGTAGAAGTGATTCCCCATCCGCTGTTACGGTCCCTTATTAATGAGAAGCATTTTAATTAATCTCAACAGTTTATATTCGCTTCACCAACAATTATAGTCAAAGTAACATGCAGTAATTTACGTCAATATAACACTCTGTACATAATATCGATGTTTTGAAGTCTAAGTTAATATGCAGTAAAAATTAAAGCCTAACTAAATGAGGAAAATTCCTATTCCTGTAATTACAATCTTGTTTTCAGGTTTCAGAGAGATAAAAATGTATCAGGTGCACGTCCCTCCCGACAAAAACAAAGTGACCTTTCAAATATAACGAGTTTGTTGTTTATAAAAGAATATTCTCGCAATAAAACTGTCGTGGTCCTCCTTAACTACCGCTAATGTCGGCCACTTCAAAAGTGGGTTAGTAGGCATTATAAAACACGATCACACCCCAATGAACACAAAATAAGAACTTAAAGAGCTGGGAAAGCGGATGGACAGCAGTCCCTTTGTGGGGGGTGTTCATACGGTCAGCGGACGCTGTAACGATCATTGACACTGAGACGCATCTCGGGGAAATTAACGGTAACCAGGGTAATCTGGGATAATCGGTTAAGTGAATGGCAGATATGTCGAGATGATGGAGAGAAACCATTCGAGTGAGAGGGTTAAAAACAGGAAGGGCGAGACTCAGGTGAAACACAGAGATTGGGGGGGGGATGCAGGGATACGGCGCACGTCGCTGGTGGTGTCCGCTCCCCGGTTGCCATGAATACGGCTCTGACTGCCTGGATCCTGCCTCGCAGCTCTCCTGCCCTCCTGTCTCACCTCCATCCATCTCCATCCATGCTCCAGCTGCTCTGCCGGTCATCGCGCCTGGATTATCACACATCACAGGGCACGTGGACGGATACGCGCGGTTTACAAAGAGCCCCACATCTGGTCCTTAGGCGGCGGGTACCAGACACGTTTAAAAAAATTAAAAGCATGTTGAGTGGACGCAGAATGGGACTTTTTTTTTGTTTAGCTCCTGAAGGCTCAGCATCTGTCATGGGGTTCAAACCAGTCTTTTGAATTGTGATTTAACTCCACCACAATCGCATATTTTACACGTGAGATTAGTAAAGAGTAGAACAATATTAAATTGGTGTGTCATTCACGGACAACCTGCTGCAATATTTTGGACTTCCAGTAGATATTTTGGAGACAGGATGTAGTTTCTGCACAGAGAAACTTACAAGAGGGTACAACATACAGGACAGCTCAAGCCCCTTCCTTGTAGACCCAGGGACTCATCAAACTTCAAAATCAGGATGTCCTTGACACATCCAAAGCAAAATACAAGTGAGAAAGCAGGGTCAGACAATGGGGCTTTAGTTTTCTGTTCCTGTCTCTTATGTTAGACGGGTCGGTGCCGACCCGTGTATTAAATCTGCCATCAAATACCCGCAAAACAATAATTTATCATCCGATTTGTTTCTTACCTCTTGGTTACCTTGTTAAGCTTCATTATCCATATTGGTTTTAATATTTTTGGTGTGGCTTTCTGGACCTTTCTTTTGACAGCATACCTCTCCTCTTGAATAAAAAAAAAATTATGGTAAAATAAACCTCAAGAGAATTATATAACTAAACTGAATTGGTATTATCTTGTGGGGCAGCATGGTGGTGCGGTGGTTAGCACTGTTGCCTCACACCTCTGGGACCCTGGTTCGAGTCTCCGCCTGTGTGGAGTTTGCATGTTTTCCCTGAGTCATTATGGGGTTTCCTCCAGGTACTCCGGTTTCCCCCCCACAGGCCAAAGACCTGCTGAGGCTAATTGGAGTTACTAAATTGTGTGTAGGTGTGCATGTGTGAGTGAATAGCGTGTGAGTGAATAGCGCGTGAGCTGGCCCCCTGTCCTGGGTTGTTCCCTGCCTCATGCCCATAGGCCTCCAGCCTTTTTGCCTTACATGTATGGGCATGCCTTGCCTAGTGAATTTGTTTATTTATTTATTTTGTTTAAATAGAGGTTCCTGATGCAGTACACAAGGCAGGCCGGCCTGGTGCTGCTCCCTACAGCGCCCACCCCCGCACAGTCACTAAGGCAGAAGGTGGGCCAATGGCGGTGTGGGTGGGCAGGATTTTTTGTGGGGACCCTCCCCCCGACCCAAGCTTGGGGACTCCCTCCTGTATTGGCAAATTTTACCATAGGTATGTATGTGTGGTGAGAAATTCCAGGGCCGATTTTTAATCCCAGTCCAGCCCTGGTGGAACACACAGAAAGTTATTCTGGCACAGGCCAGAGGGAGGATTTGGCAAGCAAGGCAGCGGCAGGGACAAGGGAAGGAGGCGGAGCCAGCAGCTGGCCGGCATCATGCCGGGCCGTGCCTGATTCAGCTCCGCCCCCTCGCACATTTCCGAGACATGGACCCACTGCGTTATCCGTATTTATTCTGCTGTCACGGGCGTCTGGGAATAGAGGCAGCGTGTTTAACTTTGCGGGGTCAATAGCTTTGCAGCCGACCCTTTATAAGGACGTCGTACAGGACTTATCGAGTTGCCGTTTATAAAATACAGCTGTGACTGGTAAACTGCACGCACCTCCTCCCTAAACAGTCGCCCGAAGTCGCCTTTTTGCATGCAGGTGCCCCTGTTCAGCTGAGGTATCCTAAGATAAAAAGCACAGTCAGGGATCAACTAAAAATGACAGACACACCTTAACGTGGCTTATAAATCCCACTCGCATTTACTAAATATTGCTTATAATCTGTGACACTTGTCTTTCTCAGTCTGTTATTTTTTTTCTCCAGTTTTCTTAAAGCTGTCAGCTGGGTGTTTCTGATTTTTACATTTTTAAAAACTTACGTGGTACGTGCACAGTTGCACTAGTGATTCTGAAACCATGGAGAGCAGATTCCATCCAGGCAGGTAACCTTTCTGCTATACTGCCCACCTCTTGGCCATAGCCGTATCTCTTGTAGCTGATTGGCTCAGGTGGTCTCTGAGCAGCATCACGATGTGAGCAGAGGGTTCATAGGAGGAAAGGCAGGCTGGGCACTGGGTATGTCTTATAATTTGGAGTCTCAGATGGAATTAAAGTCTAACCATTTAGGGAGCAGCACATTTACCTCTGGCCCGGATCTCGCTGATGTTATATTTGTTCTTGAAATTGTTTAAATCATGTCTTGTGGAGTATGGCTGAGCCTAATCCTTAAATGCATAAACTAGCGGAGGATGTTTAAGGCTTTTGTTTAACTGGTTGGCGTTTGTGTGTGACTCTTCCGATTATTTTGTTTCTCTTCCTCCTCTCTTCTGGCAAAAGGGGCAAAAAAGAAACACTGCAAAGCCATGATCTCTTCGTCCAACAGCACTACACCTGGCTCCACGGTGGAGACGACATACAACACACCTCCATCAAAGTGCGTCCTGGGAGCCCTCCCCGTGATTTACTACAGCGCCCTCCTCTGTGTGGGAGTACCAGGTACAGGACAATAAGAGCAGCAGGGATTGGTTTAAGGAACTCCAATCAGAACCCAGCAGTGGGATGCCTGTTTTCCTTTGAGCTGTAATGTTACTACTAATTGTATCGGAAAATGTTAAACATTAAAAAATAATAACTATTGAAAGTTTAAATATTTAAAAAATAATGTAAAAGTATTTGTCTAAAAACTTGGATACAAGTTCCTGTCATAATATTATTTGATGAACAGAATTTTGAAAAGAATAAGAATCTGGAAAAGATATGAATAATATGCTGTAATATGCTGTGTGTAAAATAGGTAAACACTTTAAATAAATAGGCAGCCTATAATCTTCAAGGCAGAAGGTGTGCACAGGGAAGCCTTATCAATACATTGGGAAATGTATAATTATATGGTGGGTGTTTTGTTGATGTGCTGAATTACTACCTCCTGACGATTCCTCGGTCCACCTTGCTCTTTTCACACGGTCCAGCAGGCTGCCCATTACATATCATTTTAATGGCCACCTGATCAATTTCCCATCATGCCGATTGCTGAGCTCGGTCACATGACGTTCATTGTTCCCTGCTGTAAACTGCTGATCGCCATTTAATGGAAGCAATACCCCTGACCCCTGCATAACCCCCCCCCCCCACACTGCCTGTACCCTTTCTGTGCTCCGTCGACAGATTAACAAATGACCTGCTTTCTGAAAACAAAAAGATTTGTTTAAAAAATATTCCATTGTTGATAGTTTGATAGAAACACCCTTTGCTGTTCACTGATGTCACCGTTTCCTCCTGTGATTCTTATGGAACAAATATACCCCCCCTGCTCAGCTATTGATGTAGTGCTGGGGGGGTTATTGTCTTAAAGCTGTCTGTCAGGATTAGTAATTGGCTCCCCAAGGAGGAGGGGGGTATGTAGGATTGCCTCAACAAGAGATGAGGACTCCCCAAGGAAAATGACCAAAAAATACTCCTGAAAATGGTGATGGTGTGTGTGGGGGTGGGGGGGGGCGTAGGCATGTGCTTTAATACTAAATCACAATTCACCTGAATGCAAAGGTCTTGTTTTACCTGGAGTTTCTCAGCCAATAGTCACAGAGTGCCAGCCACACCCACCATATAATTATCTGTTTCCCGGTATGTTGATGAAGATTCCCTGTGGACAACTCCTGCCTTTTTATTTAAAGGATTTAAATGAGCTCATTTTAGATAAGTGTAATTGACTGAGAAATATAAATTTTCAAACACACACACACACACACACAGATTTGTAATTGTATCTTTATGGGGCCTCTCCATTCATTTTTATGGGGAAAACTTGAATCCCAACATGACGACCCTAACCCTAACCCTAACCCTAACCGGCAAACAGCGTGTCACCCAATGGGCACAAAGCGTTTCAGCCAATAGGCATGAAGAAGGAGCTCTGCAGATTATTAGTAGGACAGTTTTGACAAGGCTGTGCCATTCCTTTCTGATTCCTGGTGCTCCACGGCTGCAGTGAACATCCTGACGGTGGTGGTGCTGTCCCGTCTGGCGGCCCGGACCAAGAAGGCGCTGTACGTCTACCTGCAGGCGCTGACGGGCTCCGACATCCTCACCCAGCTCTTCATCATCTTCGTGGGCTTCCTCCTGGAGACGGCCATCTTCCACCGGGAGGTTCCCCAGTTGCTGCTCCACTCCGTCAGCATCCTGGAGTTCGGCGCCAACCACGCCTCCATCTGGTCAGCGGTGCCGCTGACGGTGGACCGCTACTTGGCGCTGTGCCACCCCCTGCAGCACCGCCGGATCAGCTACCCGGCCAGGGCGCGCCGCATCATTGCCGTCGTCTTTGCTCTGGCGCTGGTGTCCGGTGTTCCCTTCTTCTGGTGGTCGGACATGTGGCGTGTGAGCGGCCCGCCCACGGCCCTGGACCGCGCCCTCATCTGGACGCACGTCACCATCATCTACTTCCTGCCCTGCAGCATCTTTCTGACGCTCAATGCGCTCATCCTCCGCCGGCTTAGAGTGCGCCAGAGGCAGCAGTGCCAGGATGGGCGCTCCGGCGGCCAGCAGGGGGCATCGTCATACCATCTGGGCAAGACCACTGCAATGCTGCTGGCCGTGACCTCTGTGTTCTCGGTGCTCTGGGCGCCGCGCACTGTGGTGGTGCTCTACCACCTGCACGTGTCCTCCGTGCACGGGGACTGGCGCGTGCACCTGGCGTACGACCTGGCAAACATGCTGGCCATGCTCAACACGGCAGTGAATTTCTTCCTGTACTGCTTCGTGAGCCGGCCATTCCGTGCGGCCGTCAGGGACGTGCTGTTGCTGAAGGGGGTGCTGCTGTGCCCGCGCCGTGCCCTCCGCCACCAGCATGCAGCTGCCAACGTCTCCACCTCCTCGCTCTCCAGCAGCCACAAGCGGCACCTCCGCCCCAGCACCAAGCCGCACCAGGGCGACTCCATGGCCCAACCTCCTTCCACTTCATAGATTGTTTGATCATGTGACCTAATCTCCTCCCATTTCAAAGGCTATGGCTGCTCATAATACCCAAACCCCTCCCAAATCTTAGGCTACCTTTGATCATATGACATAAACCCCTCCCAAATCTTAGGCTACCATTGATCATATGACATAAATCCCTCCCACTTCTTGAGATATCTTTGATCATATGACATAAACTCCTCCCAAATCTTAGGCCACCTTTGATCATATGACATAAACCCCTCCCACTTCTTAGGCTACCTTTGATCAGATGACATAAACCCCTCCCACTTCTTAGGCTACCTTTGATCAAATTACATAAACCCCTCCCACTTCCTAGGCTACCTTTGATCATATGACATAAACCCCTCCCACTTCTTTGGCTATGTTTCATCATATGACATAAACCCCTCCCACTTCTTAGGCTACCTTTGATCAGATGACATAAACCCCTCCCACTTCTTAGGCTATGTTTCATCATATGACCTAAGCCCCTCCCACTTCTTAGGCTATGTTTCATCATATGACCTAAGCCCCTCCCACTTCTTAGGCTCTATTTGCCCATGTGACCAAACTCCGCCCCCACCATCTCAGGCCATGTGAACCGCATGTCCCAGCCTCTGTACACTCCTTGGTTTACAAATTCAGAGACTTGGATGGAATCTCTGCTCATCCTTAGCGTAGCTTCATAACTCACCACAGAGACCTCAAGTGGACCCGGATCACTTTTGTACTGATTAACGTACAATATTTATTTTATCCTCAGTGGGGATTACAAGCCAGAATACGCCGTGTTTATGTCTCGTCCTGTTGCTTTTTCCCAGTACGTGGGAGTGATGTGTTCCAAGGTATTCTTGATGCAGTACAAATGGGACATATGGACACTGTTTTTGTTTTATTTGGCTGAAGAACGCTTTGCACTGTAGCTTTAACGGGAGTGGGGGTCAGTTTGCTGAGTATTTATCTTATTCCTGTCACCTGGGCCCTTCCTTCGCCAGTGATCCACACTGTTAAAAATTTCCATTCCAGTAATGATGTCACCGGCCCATGCAGCCCTGGCTGCCGCTGTCGGTCGGCAGTAAGGAATCCTACGCACTGAAGTCTGATCATATATTCCTTCATTTATAATATAGAAGATAGAGGTAGAGAGAAAGGATGATGTGAGTGAGGGATACAGGGGGGGGAAAAGCCCTAATAACGGACAGCTAAGCTAGGGGGGGGGAAGTAGGCTGTGTTTACTCTCCCGAACCACGGCTCGATGGCCTTTGAAGTCGTCCAGGTCACAGAGCAAACACTCCTGCCGCTTCGCTGAGCAGCCAAAACGCCGGCCCCTGTATCCGAGAGTGCCGGCCCCCCTGTCCGAGAGTGCCGGCCCCCGTGTCCAAAGGCGTCCCCGCGTCCGAGAGTGCCGGCCCCCGTGTCTGAGAATGGCGGCCCCCATGTCCGAGGGCGGTGGGCTCCACACCGGTACATTTCCATCGGGTCACCACTGGCTCTGGGCCTTTAATGTGCGACGCCGGACCTTTAACCCTCAAACAAACCTCGCGCTTCGCAGCCCTTTCTGGGTGACTGTTTGCTGAGTGCCAGGTTTTGCCCTCGATTCTTCAGGCACAGACAAGTCGTCTCCTTTTCTTACGTTTTACAAACTGCAGTTTTAATAAGGAGAAACTGGACTCTGGGATTTGCAGCCATAGACACTGGAGTGTGAAACCTTCTCGCAGTGACACACCAGCCGTCTGCCTTATAGATTGCAGACCCCCTCCCCCCCCATGGTCCTGACAAGGATAAGCAGTTAGTAAATGGATGGATGGATGGATGGATGGATGGTATACATAGTACTGATGCGTTCAGTTAGATCAGTGTTTCCCAACTGGATCCTCGAGAACCCACAGACGTTCCGCGTTTTTGTCGACTGTCCCTGAGAACTGGATCAGGAAACGCTGTGTTAAATTCCGGAATACAGCTCCCTTCGGATGTCTTCTAATTTATCACATCATTTACTTTGAAACCACCCCCTCCTTCTCTTCTCCAGTATGGGGAGCAATTCTGGGCTCAAATGTCCGCAACGGCACCATGGTGTGAATTCCATCTGCAGCCATTTACGGGAACACAGTAACCGATAAGTCGGGTTACCGCAGCGGAGTGCCGCAGACGTGTTTGAGTGCATGGTGGCCTGTACCGGGCTGGGAGGATGCGGAGGACGGCCTGCAAGGGGCTCAGGGCTCAGCCCATTCCATCTACTGCAGCTGAACGCGGCCTTTTTCAGACTCGGGCGCGATAAGCAGACACGTGCTTTCACTGGTATAAAACGTCCGTTATCTGCATTCTGGTTCCAGCCCGGGGGCAGACGATTAGATTACCGTGCTGTTTAGTGAATTGCAATCCAAAGCAATTTATGCTGTCATGTAACTGCAGTTCATTTGTAGATTTATTAGATAATATATCTGTTTCTGAGTGGATTAACTCTGCTTAACTGCCGTACGGAAGGAGCTACGAGCAGGGCTTCGGGAGAACCTTCTGAGAGCGGCGCTTCGGGAGAACCTTCTGAGAGCGGGGCTTCGGGAGAACCTTCTGAGAGCGGGGCTTCGGGAGAACCTTCTGAGAGCGGGGCTTCGGGAGAACCTTCTGAGTCCATGCTTTGATTCCTTGGGTATTGCACCCCCTGCTGGCCCTCAGTCGCCAACACAGAGGCTCATCCATGCCCTCCAGTCTGATCTTTTGTTTTGGGGCACCTCTCTCAACTCTCTAGTGTTGGGGGGAAAAGGGACAGAAAAATCTAGAAAATGTACATATGACAGAAAGACAGGGGTAAGAGTGACCTGAGTTCAGGGGGGGCTTGGTGTGTCGCTGGTAGGGGGGCAGGCGTGCGACATGTTGCTTGTTGATAATGACACAGTAATGAGATATGAGATAATAGGCGGTGTCACATGTACTCGGTAAAGAGGTTTGGAGAATCGATGGGTTATACACGTCTAATGGCCTCCCCGTGTGCCTCTACCCCGGACACCAGGCTGACACGTATGTCCAGCCTCATACCCCCTGAGAATAAGATGTGTTTGTGTCCTTCTGTTAAGTCACCTTCATGCAGCAGCTAATTAAGTGATACGTGCTCAGCTCGACCCCCCTTCCGGAAGGAACTCCGGTTTATCTCCCCTGCACGTTGCTTTTCTGTAGTAAAGTGTCCTTGTTACCCTAAATGTCTGCAGTCCCTGATGCAGCCTCCATTCCCAATGGCACAGTTACACACAATAATGGGGATTTTACATTATGTTTGTGTTTATAACACAGATGATGTACTTTTATACTGAAATAAAATCAGCATCCAACAGGACATGCGGTCTATGTGTGCTGTTATGTGAATTAATGATAATTAATGTTTAACTGCTAAACCGTAAATTATTTATAAGAACTCGAGTGACTTCTGAAAATATCAGGTGTGTGAAGTCACCAGAGGAACTTAAACTTGTTTTCATTATCTATGTAAATTTTTATTCAAATTATTTGATCACATGGCTAAGGAGGGCATATGTCCAGCATCACTCAGTACACATAGAACATGCAAAACATACAGATTATATCAATATATGATGAATGTGATTCCCGTTCAGCGATAAGCTGTGATTTGATGCTGGATTGTGTGCGATACTGGGGGCCCAATGGCTATGTCAGGTGGTAAAATTAACCCCCCCTCTCCCACACATAATCTACGGTGGGGCTACAGGAGACCCCACAGTAACAGTAACGGTGCTGTCAGTCGCCTCGGTCCTGCTGGGGCTTGCCGGACCCCTGGCACTCTTGCCTCTTTACAGTAATGCCAAAGCAACACACTGGGCTGAAGTAATAACTGGTTTGGTTTAAGTCCCACCCTACAAAATTATAAATTGTGGGTAATATATTATAAGGTGTTTCTTTTATTTTGTCCACCCCATGCTTAGGATATATAATTTTATTATTTAAGAATGTTTAAAAAAGACTGACGTGATGAAGGACATCTTTATCATTACAAAGCTTACTGGCCATCTATGCCTGGAGTGGGAACACTGGACATAATGGGGTGAAAACCAGTCAGACAACTTTCACACCAGCTTGATCATGTTCCCATGCAAGAGAAAGGTTTGATTTATGACAAAAAGCAACATAACCTCCCCCGGACCTCCTCCGCACCTCCTCCGTGTCAAACAAGCCGTAGCAGGAGATTCCACGAAAGGGAAGGTCACATGATCACAGTTAGCCATGGGAACCGCTGGAGTCTAACTGAACATCAAACAAAGTGGGTTGGCTGAGTAGAGAGTGCGACCTTTCCTGTTTTTGCTTGAACAATTGCTGAAAATCTCTCTGTCATGAGAACAAACATTACAAAAAGCTATTTTAATAATAATAATAAATGCTTGATTATAGGAATGAGTGCTAAATGGTGTGAAATGATCTGGTCTTCATTAACTGTAAAGTGGATGCATTTTGGTTTTCCGCATTTAGAGAGACATGCTTGTGCTCTGTATAATATCGTTGATAAGGCCAGCAGAGCCAGCCATTGTTAGGAAGACAACCCCGCATAAACGGTCATCTTAACACAATTATGAGAACAGAAATAAGGGCATAAAGCCAGAGCAATAAGGACCAAGCGGAAACAGACCCGTGATCCTAGAATAACTCGGCAAAACACCGCGACAGGTTAAACGCTAGGGGGCACTCTCACCCCATATTCAACGCTTTTGACCTTCAAATCACACATAATGGGCTGCTTATCACAACAAGCGCCATACACTTTGTAAATTATGTAATGCTTACACACACTTCCCTCACATATGGTTACCATCCTATTAGAGACTAAATAACTCTTTTTGAATCCATGTCAGATGTGAATCATATTGCACCCCAGTCATGGTCCCACGTTCCTTTGTCATCGTGCACATAGTGCAGTGAAATTATCGCATGCTTCCTGCAGAACAGAATATCAAATAAAAACAAGACAATTACTACAGCACATAGATCGCTTTTGGGGCTTAGGATGTCTGGTAAACTGTTGCCTAGAAACGCGGGTAAACTGCGCTCCCCTTTCCTTGACAGTGCATTGCGGTCGAGGGGCACAGCGATTTACCAGGGTAAACTATGGCTTTCTCCAGTCATCTGTGGCATGAGCATTTCACAAGGGATTTTGTAACAGAATTTCATTTTGAAAAATTGTAAAATGTATGCTGCCCGCCATCCATGACACGCCGTTCACCAGCAATATCACGTCCACCTGCATGACAGGTCACCTGCCAATGAAACTGGCCAAGATGGAGATGTTTCTCCTACCAGCCAGAACTTTGTACCTCTAACTCACTGGAGAATCTGCCCTGGACCACTGTAGATCAGTCATACTCAGACTATTAGCACATACCTCTAAACCACTTTGGCTCGACCAGAATGTGGTTTCATGACTTGTCTTCAACTTGCCCGAATGACCCCATGTCTCACCTTTGGTGGAACACCTTTGCTGTCCATGAAGCAGACATCCAGCTCAAGGTCATGACAAAGGTGTTTGTTTCCAGGCTACCAGAGCCATAAACAACAGTCAGGCCCCCATCGGGATGTTTGCTAAATGCATTTCCTGGTCATCTCAATGTCCCAACAATATCCCTCAATGCCCCCCCCCGAAAAACATCTGAATCTCCACTGCTCTACAATAATGCCCTCAAACCACTCTAGGCAAGATTTTATTGCTGATATTCTGGAACTGAACCTAGCTGATTAACTGATTAACACTGCGCAATTCTATACTTGTTTTACGTCTCAGATATCATCTTACTGTAATTGTGATTTTGCAATCTACGTGGTTCGTTAGAAATGTAATATGTTATCATGTAATACTTACCCTGTTATTTGATTCATTATTCCTTAATTACTCTGTAGATTAATAAGGATGGATGTCGTTGATTTTTCTTTTTTTTTATTACGTTACCTGTATTGTCTAAAACATGCTAACGAATATATACAAATGCACATAACCTATCGCGTACGTGTAGCACAGAAACAGACCCCCGGTGGGCACGCAGCGGGGGGTATACCGTGATTTCCCACTAGATGGACCTAAATTCTTACCGTTTCATAGAGTTATTTGCCGCACCACAGCAAACTAACAACAAAAAGCCGATCTGCAGTCTTTCTTCCCACATCGTAATAATCATTCGCCTTCGCAATAACCCGATCAAATATAATTGTTAAATCGATGTATTTGCGTCTTAATATATATGTTTATTTATGTATTTGGTTATTTACTTTTCACACTTCCAGTAATTACTCATAAAGCATATTAACTAATCATCAGGCCCTCGATCTATTTCGAGTGTAAATCGCACTTTTAATGCTGTGCTTGTGTTTTCCTACAAGCCCATTGGTGCGATATTAAGTCTACTTAGGCTATTAAAGGACAGGATATTTGATATCGCGATAGAATCGCTACATCTGGGTGGAGTGAATCGCAAATAGTTCGTATGGAAGTTGGGTGGCCGGTTGGAGAGAGAGAGGGAGAGAGAGAGAGAGGGAGAGAGAGAGGGAGAGAGAGAGAGAAACAGAGAGAGAGAGGTGAACATTAACTAACTGCCAGGGTACCGAGCGTTCTCTCGCAGGATTATACATCAGCAAACGACTGACAAACATATTGGGGGATACTGAACCCAATCAGCAATTAACGGGAATATTCGAATACAGCGGAGAATAAATTACGCAAGTTTCTGCGTTTGGCAGTAAACGGGGACGCGCTGCGCGCGTTTAGGATTTTTGTAGATAAATTGAGGTCGCAGGAGGAGCGAAAAGCTCAGGTAAGACACCCGTTACGTACCTGCCAAGTGTGGAGAGTTTGTCTTGGGTTATATTGTCATTTCAGGTTTTTTTCGGTCGCACACAGGTATTGATACAATGTCCTGACACTTTTGTTACCGTTGTTGCGCAAATGATTTGAAGTGTATTAAATGTCGAAACAAAAGCATCAAAATGGAAGTTCTAAAAATCACTTTAAGAAACTTCTCTTTGCGACTAATACCCGATATGTCGTGGTGAAAATTAGGAAGAGGAAAATTTAATTGCAGTCAGTTTACATCTTAAAAGGGTGTGGTTTCAAGTAACATTAATGATTAATATTGTCTCATCTAAATTCTTCGACCGCAGAGGCCACGAAGACACACGTTCAGAGAGGGCGCGCAGTTTTCTGCGTATAACTAAATTATTATAATCTTATATAATATAAATCGAGAACTTGCATGATCCACCTGCCCAGATGAAGGCTCAGTTTTTTGGAGTTTTGGGTCCCGCCCTTTCTTGACTTTATTGGTGGAAATTCGTCTACGGGGAAATTTTCATTCGCCTCGTTGGCTGTCAATCAAAAGTGTACTGCGAGATGGTGTTGAAGACAGGTGGGGGGTTTGTAAAATGGAGGTAGAATAATTGGCAAAGGAGGGTCTTTGTAGTGTACCAGAGACTTGGATATGAATTTAATTCAGCATTTTTGACATTGTATGCGGTCTCGTTAACTTATTTTGTGGAAATGCCCCATGTAAGTGGCCACAAGTTTGACTGTAGCAAAAAATATATACTTTTAAGCATTTAATGTCGGAACAGATTTGGTATTCTTTCTGCGATCGGAACCTTTTGTCAGTGTAGTGGTGTCCGTCAGATTTGGGTATTGGCATCAGCCATTGCGTGGTTCCACCTTTCCAGCACGCAGACCGACGCCCTTGACTTTTGCCCCAGGTGTGATCATGCCTAATCCGGCCCGTTATCCGGCAGATAGCCTACCAAGGGCAGGGATGTCGCACCGAATTCCTGCCTGCTTTTTGGTCCAGCCCTTTGCTCTCCTTGGGCTGGCCCGGTTACATATTTATAACGTTTACCAGCGTTACTACTTCTGAGAGAGAATATTACAGCAGGATCGATGGTTGCGCAAAAAATCTGCAATTTGCCGTGGATGTAAATTACAAGGTGAAGAATTTATGTTCCCCAATTTTCTGTTTATTTTTTAAGTGGAAGCCTGTCACCTTTTAAATAAATTCATAGTTATGTTTGATTGAATATTTGCACGATATGGTCTAAGTTTTTAAGGGCATTTGTAAAGGTCCATAAACTTTATACATATAAACAAATGTATGCATCGCGGGCAGCTTCGGTCACCTTTTCCGTCCCACTTAGCCTGGTTTTTGTGGGCAGCCTATAATTGGTTGCCACACTTTGTTTAAATGCGCGTTTAAAAGACCAATGTTAAGGAAAATGGGATGATGGGTGGGAATGTCATACTGTCAATCAGTAACTTTATCGGGCTGAAGCGGCGCTGTGAAACTCCACGATTCCTGTTCTCTGCTTCTTGCCCATGTGGTATCTTGTACGATTGTGTCCGTAATGCATTCGAAATAAATCGGCATCTATCTCGATTCTATTTATGGGGAGATGCTTAGAAGTTAAGCGACGGATCCGTATTGTCGCGGGTTTCATTCAGATCAGTCTTTTGACGAAGCGCCGGCCACATCAAGGGTTCAAGTGGGCGTCTGTGCCTTCAGATCCAGACAGAAACTAAAGTTAAGCGAAACTGCGAGCGTTTGACCAAGGAAGTGCCAAACAATACCTCACCTACAAACTTCCCGAAATGCAAATGGATCGGCAAAGGCGGCACACCTCCTCGGCGGGTTACTGGCCTCCTTTGAGTTTGCTGTTCACACCGCATACCTTTGACTGAATTTGAACATGGTTTATCTGTACGTGACGCTGCCAGGACCTTAAATGAATGCAGCTCCTCATTCTCAAGTTCTTGATTGCAGGATTGGGCATTTTTAAATGGATTAATCTGAGTTATCTGGCGTAGCTGCATGGTTCTGCTGATTAGGACTCTGTGTCTGCCATTTGCTAAGTTGCCATTTCAAATCCGTTAGTCACTAGAATGATTTCACAGTTGGGTCCTTAACCCCAGTTGCCCCGGCACTGGCTGACCCCCCCCCCCCCCCCCCCCCACTATACTGACTGACCCTCCTGCCTTCTGAATTGTATGCTGCTTAGGATAAAAGCATCTGTTAAACAAACAAATTTTAATGGCCTGTTTTGCTAGCTGTTTTTATTGGCTCTAAGTAGCCCTGTCACCCCCATACAAAATGAGCTGGCTGGATGGGTAGCAAATCGCCCCCCAGGAGAGTGCATGGCTGGGAGGGCGGCCGGTGGGCGTGGCTGGACCAGCGGTGACTGGAGGCGGAAACATCTGGAAAGCCAGACCTCCAACCCAGAATCACCCCACCGGCTGGGCTGTATCACAGTGCCGTTGTGGTTCCCAGCTTATGGGGATTAATGATTAACAGAAGCATCCCATTCATCAGGCACACTCTCCGCTGCACACATGGCGACCGACTGTAACCTTCCAGTCCCGTCACTTTCTGCCTTAGCTTACTGTAACCCCTTTTTTTGGGGAAGGCAAGTGTGCTACAAGTGTCAACTGTCTTTTTTTCCAGTTTGGATGAAAGTCCCTCCGGCCTGCGGTACGGTGGGGTAACCCGAGCGCCACGATGTCTGTTGCGAAATTCCTGCTCTCTGCTGCCAATATCTGCCCCTGGATAATATGCCTTTATTTGCACTGTTAGCATGTCCCCATATGTCTGCACTTGGAGGTTTGTCATTCCTCCTTGGTACTTTCATTTCGTCAGGATACTTTTTTTTTTCGGGCTGCAGTGCCGGCTTCAGTTCTACCCCAGGTAGCAGGTTTAGCGCGGCTGCATGGTGTTTCGGGAATGGGCCATGTGACTCGGGGCAGGGAGCGTCCCGTCTGTTGTGCTTCTCCGAGCTGGAACGCCCCGATGACTCTGGGGTAAAAGGCGTGTTTCCCGGTTAAGCAGAAGCGCTGGTGTCATGCGCTCTCTCTGGTGTGTCTGTCTGCCTTTACAGGTGCGGCCATGCGACGCCATTGGCTGCTGCTGTTGCCGTTGACGACCGCCCTGTGGTCACCGTTGGGGGCCCAGGACCCCACACCCCCCGCTGGCTGCGGTGCCGGCATCTCCTCACTCTACTACAATCTGTGCGACCTGACGGCGGTGTGGGGAGTGGTGGTGGAGGCCTTCGCGGCCACTGGTATCGTCGCCTCCCTGCTGCTCCTGATTATCCTCCCGGCCAGCCTGCCGTTCGCCAAGGACCCAAGGCGACGCAGCTCTGCGGGGCTGCAGGCCGGCTTCCTGCTCAGCACGCTGGGCCTCTTCGGCCTGGCCTTCGCCTTCGTGGTGGGCCGGGACTTCGCCACGTGCGCGGCGCGGCGCTTCCTCTTCGGCGTGCTGTTCGCCGGCTGCTTCTCCTGCCTGCTGATGCAGGGCGTGCGGCTGAGTGCGCTGGCCTGGCGGGCGGGTGGAGCCGGGCCCGGTGCCTTCCCGCTGTGCCTGGCGGCGCTCGCGCTTTGGCTGGTGGAGGCCGTCATCAACACGGAGTGGCTGGTCATCACGGTGGCCCGCGCGCCTCTCGGCAATAGCTCGTCCGTCCCCGTGCCGTGCCGTGTGGCCAACCAGGACTTCGTGATGGCGCTCATCTACGTGATGGTGCTGCTGGTGGTCTCCATGGTGTCAGCCATGCCGGCGCTGGTCGGCCGCCGTCGGGAGTGGCGGAAGGGCGGCTGCTTCGTCGTGCTGACGGCCGCGCTCTCCGTCGCCATCTGGGTGGCCTGGATCGTCATGTACGTCTTCGCCAACGCGCGGACCGGCGGCCCCAGCTGGGATGACCCCACGCTGGCCATCGCCCTGGTGGCTAACGGCTGGGTCTTCCTGCTCCTGCACGCCATCCCGGAGGTCTGCTCGCTCACTGACGACGGTGAGGTGGAGCCCAGCTTCGGCGACGACCTGTACGCCACTCGTGGTGTCGGCTACGAGACCATCCTGAAGGAGCAGAGCTCGCACAACATGTACATGGAGAACAAGGCCTTCTCCATGGACGAGCCAGCTGCTGGTATGTATGGGCCCGCGTTGCGTTACTCAGTACACTGTCCAGTGTCTCTCCCCAGAGTGTATTATAACACAACCTGAGGGGTCGCGACCCAAAATTTGGGACCGTAATCATTGGATCACAGAGTGTGTGGTTAAAAATTAACTTAAGACTGTTTAGTTTTTCATGAAAGTGCATGAACACATTTCCTGTTACTATGTTGTATGGACTCTTCATTTGTAAAATTTTGGTCCAAAATTGAGATATTTGAGTCCTGAGTCTAAACCACTTGTCAACTACTGACATAAACAACACTATTCGTTATGCTCAAATTTGATCAAAGCATTGAGTAAATTTGTGCCTGTGTTTGTGTGTCGATGTCTAAATCTGTACCTTGCCTTTTCCCCTCTTTGATGCCCACTCCGCACTTCTTCTGGGTGACCTCGTTCCGGGCGCTGATTTTGATTGGTTGACGTATATTGCAAGATGGGGTTGATGACAGAACAATGTTCTGAAAACCCACAGAATTGACAAAACTTAAAAATAAGTCCAGGAATGTGAGCCACATCCTGCGACCGCGCCGGGTTCCGCTCACAGACGCTTATGCGGCAGAATGTAATCCACACGTCCCCACAGAAAGGCTTGGGTGCAGCACAGGACACACAGTGGCACACGGTCCGGTGGGAGGGGCCCTGGGAAGAGATACGGCGTTGGCGTGGGGGCCTAGTCCTTCCAAGTGTGCTGTGCAAGAGTGCGGCCTTTAGGGTACATACATGTGGATGGTCACAGCTGGTATACAACCTTAAAATGGAATTTTAATGGGACTTGTACCCTGCCTTTTCAGTATTGACTGTAGTATATGCTGTATCTCTATTTACATTATTGATCAAAAAACAAAACCTGGATTATCTTCAGCAGAAGTGACTAAAATAAACCCTCCATCCCATACAATGAGCACCCCTTGGAAGTCGATGAAGATGCTAATGTCAGCCAGTAGGGGGTGCTCTTCCCGAGTACCGAGTTATGGCTCCGCTCTGGTCTCTGACTTGGTCCCCTTCCCCCACGCTTTGGGTGCGTGTTCAGGTGACGGTGACCCGGCGCTGTCCTGACCAGCCGGGGTAGTCTCCGGGTCTGCCCGTCCATCCAAATAACTGACACTCTGTTATTTTCGGAGTGGTGTCCGACCTCGCAGGATGACCAGAGGAAACGGGGAGAGGCTGTGGAGGACAGCAGGACAGGAAGCCCCTTCTGTCTTGCCGTCTCCTACAGTCTGTCAGATTGAGGCTTGTGCATCGAAGCCATAGCTTAATTCAAAAAGAGTCGCTGTTTATGATTATTACAAATATTGATCAGTAACAGTGATCAAAGTTGCATAATTCTCTGATCTGACAAAGACGTCGGACACTATGGATACTTTTGACTACCCAGCATCCCTTGGGGCTGCTCCGATGTGTTTTAATACTGTCCTTTGCTGCCCCCTAGGCTACAACAAGCCGATGTCTCCTTACAGCGGCTACAACGGGCAGATGAGGAGCTCTGTGTACCAGCCCACCGAGCTGGCGCTCATCACCAAGGGCGGGGCCAACGTAAGTCTGCAGGAAACGGGTCGCTGTGTGGTTCTGCCATGTAACAGGCCGTGCCTGTGTCCGCCGTGAATCTCGTGGCTGGCAGTGTAATCATGCCAGTGTTGGGCCTTTAATCCCCAACTGGATGAATGTCTGCCCCTCTGCTCAGACCCCAGGCTTCATTCTTGACTGCATGCGTTGGTTTCGTGGAGAGCGGGACGTGAGAGGCTGCACCTAGCGAGCATGCAGGCCTCTTGGCTGCTCTGATCCCAGCTCCTGCTAATCGCCTTTCCCCTGTGTGTCTGTCTGTCTGTCTGTCTGTGTAGCAGCAGATGGATCACTCCTATGACACGGTCCTCCCCCGTGCCACGGCCACCCCGCCCGTCCCCAGCAATGGCGTGTCCTTTGGCATGGCCGAGGAGAGCCCCCACGGACACCTGCCGGGGGCCAGTGTAGGTGCAGTCGTCCCTGACCCTCCTCTCCTATAGCGCTGGATCTGCCTTCCCGGCTTCTGCTACTGCCCCGTTCCTCGCTTTTACGCTCCTCCCTCCTGTCCCGTCGGCTTCGCCCCTCTCCTGTCCCGCTGGCCCATCGGCTTCGCCTCTCTCCTGTCCTCCAGTCCGGTCAGAATTACTTTGGGCTTCTCTTTGGGTTTTGGCTTGAATGACCCTGGCTGACTTCTGCCTCGTTTACTCTCCAGGACTAGACGGTACTAGAGTGTCAGAGTCAGAAACGAGTACCCAGAGGCACTTCGAGGCTTCCTGGTTTTCTTAGAGGAGAGGATACTGAACCATGTTATTACTTTGTAACACCAGGAATTCATGATAACCTGTGTCTCTTTTAGTGACATGAAACCAGATGTGGCACAGATGTCCAATCAAAACCTGTCTTCTCTCTGCAGGTGAACGGCTTTCAAAGGAAATGGTGAACCCTTTTTTTCAATGATCTTTCTTTCCCCCTGCTTTTCATTTGATCTGTTTTTTTTTTTTAAACATTAGTTATGTCATCCACATGCATTAAACCTGGTGGGGGCAGGTTTCAGTGGACGTTGCCCAAGACAATGGGGTCCCGGCAGCCTCATGCTGCCATACCCACAATCCTTTGGGGCCAGCGACGTGTCCCCTGTGATGATCCGCCTTGGCCGTTCTTATCGCAGTTGATAGTGGCCTCCCAGACCTTCGCCCACCTCCACCCGACAAGACGGTCATGATCCTTGTCAGTGGAGGATGTCATTTTTGTGGGGGAGAGCAAGGTGAGGCACGGGGGGGGGGGGTGAAGCTGCTCTCAGTCAATCTCCCTGATACACAGGCGCACACAGGTGGCCTGTGACAGTGAGACTGCACTACTGGCAGCGTGAGGCACCCCCTTCACCCATGTTCACACTCAGCCTTTGGGAAGATCACTACAGCAAGAGTCACCTTTCCACATGGAAACACACCCCGTCACAGCAGAGGAAGATGGATGACCTGTAACAGGAGGATCATGGGATAGAACCGCAGTCCCAGGAAAGGACGCGATCAAGGTGAACTGTCAGTGGGAGGCTTCTTAACCAGTCCGTGGCTAGATGTGAGGGCCCGTCACTTCTGATCGGCAAATGTCAAGTTAATCAAGCTTTAAGGGAATTGGGAATTATGTAATGGCACCATGCATTACTACAGTTACAGTATGATTATGGTTTGACATAAGGCTATTGAGTTTGCAGGTTAATGCTGAAAATTACTTGCTGAATATTGATTGTAGTAATGTGAACTACTGACAAGACTAGGACTGCCTTTAATTTTGATGACAAATGTGTGCAGTTAAAGCATTGTTTTCATTTGATCGGATTATTGTGTTCTGTTTGTACCATATATATTTTTTATTTATATTTGAAATGTACTGGAAATAAAAACATGGCACGCTATTTGTGAAGTTTCTTCCCCCCCCCCCCAGAGTCTCCTGTGCATGAATGTGTCACTCGTGTCGGGTTGATGAGGGTTTGTTTTGAACCAGGACATGCCGCAGATACCTGAGGACCGTGGCCATGATACAGCGATTCTGAGCTCATTCCTCTGCTGGGAATCGCCGCGGAAGATGAGTGGAAAGGGAACGCACAAACCAGGAAGCAAACTGGTGCCATTTGGGTTGGATGAGGTGGGACCTGGATGTCACCAGATAGGTCACAAAGGACATCCTCCCGGCTGCATGTGATTGGCTGATACGTGCCAGAAGTCTGTCCCAGAGCGGGGGGCCCAAACCGGCAGCCTCTCTGCTTGGTGCTTCGCCAGCTATGCCAGGGGCAGGCTTGGTGACCTCAGGCTGCAGAAGTTTCCGGTTTGGAGGGGTTAGTGGGTGGAATCCCCCCCCATATCTCTGGAAGCATCTGGTGTGATGTGAGGAAACTGGCCCCCCCATGTTACCCTGGAGGTGCACTGAGGGCCGGGCGCTGCTTATATCGCTGCTCACTCCTTTGGTGGTACAGGGTTAGGGTGAACCCCCCCCCCCCCAAAGGCATGGTAGCAATGCTGCTCCCTTTTTTTTTTTTTACTGATTTCCATGTCAGTCGCGGACGGATGGGGTGCCCCAATTATATCTGGAGTCGCTGCAGTTCAGGCCCCCTGAGAGACCTGCTGTTTACCCTGTGCCCCCACTCGCTCTGTCCATGACAGACACTACTGGGCGCTTCCCAGTACTCAGCTGCACCTGTGATTGGGGGATGGGGGAGACAGACTTGTCAGGCTGGGTCTGGGGATCCAGCACAGGGTTTAAAAACTTTGCCACGCCCTACATGTCCTGCACCGTGAACAGACGCCGCATATCCAACCGCAAGCACTCCTGTTTACACTTTGGTGTCTCCAGTCATGGAAAATCAATATACAGGAAAATCTATATACAGAAGGAGCCGTCTTAAGTAGACGTGCTTTCCTGTTAGAGAGCCGGTTCTACAGCCAGGGAAGGATTCATGACTATTTTACACTACAGTCTAAAGTCCCGGCAAACAAGCCCCACCTCAGAAAAAATGAAGAGGTTGGTTAAATGAGCAACAACTGAGTGTCCATGCTGATGTCGGCTTAAGGCCCCCAGATCATTTAATTCGCCGCTGTCCACCGGCATCCGGTCACCAGCGGCACATTAATACCAGCCGCCGGGCGCATTGCGCACCGCCTGTCTGCTCTGATCTGCGGGAAACGGAGCCGGACACGGAGGGGAAAGAAAGGGGGAAGAATACAGATCGATCGGGAGGATAACGTCCCTGGCTGCTGCCCTGCGTAACGCGATATCCGGTCCACCCGTGCGACCTCCCGTGACGCTAGCTGCGATTTCCCCGTCTGACACATCCTTCTGGCATTTTCTACAGGAAAAAAAGTTGATCTTTTGAAACTCGCAAGACATCATGTATGAGGACGCTTTAAAAAAACTAACGATTGCGAAACTTGATCTCCGTTACATTAGTGGGGCTGCTGAAAAATATGCAGAAGGGTGTGGGGAGTCTGGGAGGCGTGGGATGACAGGCGGGGAGGGGAGATAACGCTCGTGGACTTTGTGCGCGGTGGGTGGGATGCACGCGCAGCATCAGGCATGCGATGGGTTTGGGGGTCAGAGAAAGTGACGGAGCACAAAACCACGATGCCGAAGCCACTTAGCCGTGTTTTATTGTTTAAAAAGCGTTAATCATCGAACGTTTTATGTCCGTCTTTATGTAATGACTTACGTGTGGGCTTGTGTCTTGACAAAACTGGCCAGTTTTCCGTAGTTAGACGTCACATCGGAATCTCTCCCGCTGAATCACCCAACGCTATAATTCATCGGGATTCCGCGTGTTTGTATCTAAAATATTCAATTCAATTCAATTCAATTTTATTTATATAGCGCATTAAATACCTTGTGACCAACGACCTGACACCTGATTAAAATCATTACGGCATTCGCTTCATCTCAGTCAGCGAACAAACTGTATGTGGCGCTTTGGCAGGCGTTGAACGTTTGTTTTTGTAGCCACTTAATATTTAATTGCAGAAATATTAGCTTTTTTTCTTTTACAGACGATAGCTGTTATGTGTCTGTTATGCGTCTGTTAGTAACTCCCGCCATGAGCTGAGTTTTGTCTCCATTTATGCGATTCAAAATGCACCATTGCACTGGCGCCGCATTGCCGTGTCCTGAGAGCGCTGCTGATAAGGGCCGTGAGTCTCTCACACGTGAGGATGTCCTCGATCCTACACCCTCCTCCATAAGGACAGCGGCAGAGCATTGCACTGTCACAGTATCGATCACAGATGGGCAGCATCGACTTTTCGCTGCATTTATATATGAATATGTTTGAAAGCGAGACTCAGGGATGTAGAGGTCAGCATTCTTACATGACAGACGATCAATCCGAGCCATGATAGATACTGCAGCGGCTAGTGGCGGCTCCTGGTTATTTTCGGGGAAGGGGTGGCAGTTTTAGGGGTGAGAGAGCGGGTATCCGAAACTGGAAAATGGTTGTCAGCGACTTCTTCCTACTCAAAATTAAAATACAATATTTCTATAAATCAACTTTATTGACCTTGACTGGATTAAAGTAATTATAGTCGTGCTTGATATTTAGTTGTGCAGTTCTGGGAACTAGCGTATTTAAATTACAGTTGCGTCACATAAGTAGGTTCAGGAATACAGTACAGTACTGTACAGACTCTTTTGGGGCTTCTGGTGTCACCAAGGGCAGGTTAGCATTGCTGGCTGGATGGACAGATGGGATAGGCCCCATCCAGACAATAGCCCCGCCCCTCCAATCCAATTGTATTTCTATCTTTTCAGGGCCCCTATTACTCAAGATCACCCCCCCCCCCCACCCCCCCCCCC